GCCGTCTTGGACGCTGCCGCCGACGCTCGCGGCGTGATTCTTCAGGCACTCGCGATACCGCACTGTCTTGGCAACATTGGAACCAGGCAAAGACAACGAAGACGGTGACTTTTGTCGGTGATAATGATGATCTAGGGTTTGAGTTGTGCAAGAGACAGAAGTGTTGTTTCCATTGTAATTGTTGTGGCTGCTATCATTGTTGTTACCTTCTGCTCTTCTCTCAATCAAGTCATGGCTTCTGATATCCATAACAGGTATTTATTATATTGTATTATAGAAAGTAACAAAGGAGGAGATTATGAAGAGAATAGGGGAAATTATGAAAATGGGTGATTGAAAGATTGATTCTTTATTAGAAAGATTGGATTTTTATGCGGTGAGAGAGGTCCAAGAGCATTAAATACGTGGAACTGAGCCGGAGAAGGAGTGATTATGCCTGAAAACCATGAACCCACCAGCTGTATTAATGGAATCCAGACAAGGGAAGACAAAATCAAGTGGAGGAAACAAAATTAAAGACAAAAGACAACAAAAGAAAAAAAAAAGTGATAATTGATAAGTCAGACAAGAATCAAAGACAATGAAGACGGACCAAACTTACAGACAAGATTGGGGTTCAAGAAAACCCAGGATTGCAGGAACTGGATCTTTGCCACATAAAAGCTCAAAGGCATTAACTTTGAGAGAGAGAGAGATCTGGAACTTTTGGGTTTTAATGGGGTTTTAGGGTTTTTCGGGGAAAATTGCTTTGAGGAGAAACCATGTTTCAGTGCTCCCAACAAGCCAACTTAGAGATCTGATAACATGAGACAGTTTGGTTGCTTGTGGTGAGGCCAAAGTGAAGATAAGAGAGAAGAGTATCGGAGAAAGAGAGAAAGAGAGGTGATGGGACTAAATAATAATAATAATAATAATAATAATAATGATAATACATCATTTATACTTATTTCACTGTATTATTGGTTTTATTGAAGCATAAAATGAAATATAATTGGTGTATAACAAATCTATTTAGTTCTTTTTATTTATGCATTCCATTCGGTTTACTTTGGGGTTTTAGTTAATCTTTGTTTGAACAATTTTTGTTAAATTTCTTTAATTTGATGAAAACCATTGGATATTTTTTTTTCAATTCTTATTTATTTTAAATTAAATTGTCGAATTTCGATTGGAATCCTCTAATTCATTTCAATCCGTGTTATAAAAAAAATAATTTTTAAATCGAATATATTTTACCCATTTTTTCGGAGTCCATTTTATATACTCAAAGTGAAATGTACCAACCTCATAATTTCAACGGGAGTCATAAGTGAATCTATAGTATAAGATTGATACACAAACATAAATGTAAATATATATATTTCACAGATAGAATAATAATAGTCCCGTGAATGTAAAAATAGTTTCTCAATACTTCAGATACAAAACCAAATAAATAAATTTTTAGATAAATTATCTGAATTTGAGAGATGGATTTTCAATTTTTTTTTTAAAGAAAAAAATCCAAGGGTGGTGGTAGGAGAGAGAATGTAGTAATGCAGAGAACAACCGACAAGGTCATGTTCAACCCCAACCCCATGCCCTGCCACACAATGGGCCCCGTATCCTTTGTCCTTCATCATTACATCACCTCTTTGCTTTTTTTTTTTTTTTAAATTTTAATAAATGCCGTAAACCCCAAACACAGATTGATTTAATTAAATCATATAATAAAAGAGGAATACAATTACAAAACCCTAATTTGCCCAAACCCTAATCAACCTTTTCTATTTGTTTATTTGGTTGTTTTCACCAACACATTTAAAAAAATGGTCGATGACATCAAAATGTGGATGAATTCCCTTGTATATATACGCATTTATAATAAATATTTTACTACAATTTACTTCACTTTAAAATACTTAAATAAAATAATAAATACTTTTTACAAGGGTTGCGGATAAAAATATTTTCAAACTATGTTATATTACAATATATTATAATTAGTAATTTTCAATTTATAACGCAAACCTTTCTCGAAACCTCTGACTCTTCCCTAATGACACATTCACATTTTCATTAATATACATTCCTAAGTGACTGAAAAACGAAAAAAGGCATATCAAAGTCAATGCATAATATGTATGTATGTATATATATATATATGTACACATTAAATCTGATATATAATTCTTTCGTCATAGCTTCTGCAGCATTTTCTTTGACAGGTTGTCAAATGATAATTTTTTCTTTAGCATAACATGTTTTGTCTCCTTTAGAATTATGAGCTCATACTCTTTCAAACATTTCATTTGGCTTAAAATTTAAAGAAAAATAATCTGAATAATAAATACATAATAATTATTTTTTCAACAGATATACATACCACTCATTTACATCTGAAATAACCAAAACTTACAATTGAGGTTTTTATTTGTATTTAAAAGGAAACTATTTATTTCTTGTTTTTATGTGGATCTTATATTGGCAAATCCATAAATATATATGATTTATGTCTATAATATAATAATGATTGAAAAAGTAAATAATATATATATATATATTATTTGTGTATATATGTATATGCAATTTTTTATTTTATTTTTAAAAAATAAATTTTAAAATTCTGTAATTTTTTTTAAAAAATTTTAAAAAATTGTGTATATATGTAAAAGTGTGTATATATATAAATGTATAAGTGTGTATATATATATATATGTATATAATTATGTATGTAGATGTATATGTGTATATATGTATTTGTATATAATTGTTTATAGATATAAAAGTGTATATATATGTATATATAATTTTATATTTTATTTTAAAAAAATAAAATTTGAAATTCTGTATTTTTATTTTATTTTATTAGTTTTTTAAAAAAATTCTAGAATTTTTTTATTTTTATTTTTTATTTATTTTCTGACGTGGCTCGATGATGTGGCGAAATATGCTGATTTGGCGAAATCTGTATGACGTGGCATGCCACGTCGGCATTAAAATTGACGGAACTTAACGTCGTTTACGGATATGGGGGAAATCGCAGCACATTTTGAGATTTTGTGGGGGAATTTGGAAAAATTTGAAATCCGGTGTAGTTTTTTGTCAAATTAAAAATTGGTGTAGGAAATTGGAACTTTTTCGAAAATTTGTGGGGGAATATGGGATTATCCCAAACACAAATAACTGAATTACGATATGCCGTTCATTATAACGAATTTTCAATTGAAAAAATATATATATGATATAGTTGTTTCCAGTAAAACTGTAAAAGTATACATATGTTTTTCTTTTTTGGGATTTTCTTATGGATTTACATAGACCTATTGTTTTACAAAAGTTCTTTTTCTTTTGTAAATTAAGTTGAATTCAGTAACCCAAGATGGCATACTTCAACTGGTAAGGAGTGTAACAAATTTCCTTTCCAACCTAAATTCGAGTTTTCATTTGGAAAGAAGTATTCATCTCGGTTAACATCAAGAAAAAAAAGTTGAATTAAGTATTTTTTTTTTTACAAAAGCAAATGAGCTGGCCAATGAAAAATAAGAACTGTTGTGTCCCTCTCTTTCTGAAACTTTATATTTTTTTTTTAGCTTAGGTGCTTTGTTTGATAGCCAAAGGCAGTGATACAGTAAACACTATTACTTCACTGTTTAGGAGAGACCCTTTTGTTGTTTTTCCCAAAAAAAAAAAGAAAGAAAAAGATTACTGAAATCAAATGTTCACCAAGTTGGGGGAATCAAATTCCCATGCTTCAGATTCTTACACACTGCAACAAGTCTAATATATATTTTTCCATTTTTTGATGAATGCATAACGTTTGTCATTTGGGAAATTTAAATTATGAGATAGTGTTTCTAATTGTAAAAAAAAAAAGGAGGGTTTGTGTCAGTGTCTTGTATGCACACACCCATATTCGTCTGCCATTTGAGAGTAAACAGCAAAAGGGTTTTTTTTTTTTTTTTTTTTTTTCATGTTTGTTTTGACAACTCAACACACAACAGAGAACTTGTGTAGTTTTCTGCATTGGCTGCTTTTGCGTGTTCATGTGAACTCTCTTGTTCCTTTGTCAGCTCCAAAAAAAAAAAAAAAATCATTCTCTCGGACCTTTTTTAAATCTTTTTGTTTGCATATTGGCTTCGTATGTCTGTATTATTATATACATGGACTAGTACATGAAGTCCAGGGTTTTTTTTTAACGTGGAAACTGGCAACCATTATTCTTCCGGTGCGCATCGGGTAAACCCGTGTCCTTGTAATATTATGTAAACATGTAAACCGATTTAGATTGTTCAGTCATAGGATTCGAACGCAACCATCAGTTTGTATCGCATTATTGGCGAAATGACGGTTCTAGGTGTTTTTAATAGTGTCTATTGGCGATTCTTGATGATTCTGTTATTAATCGCTGTGATGGTAAGGACTTGGCTTTTAATTATTCATTATCAAAGATATCAATCAAGCACAGCATTTGTTTCTTCCAAAATGTTAATTATGAAGGGGGAAACAAAAGAGTGACTAGTGAACGTATACGGTGCCAAATGGATGGGTTCATGGCCCAATCTCTTACGGGTTTGGTATTTATTGGGTTGGATCCATTCCATTGTCTATTGTCTAGTTTTTCCTCGTCTCCTCTCTCAGCCAATTTTCTCGTTTTCGTATCTTCTTGAGACAGTGACAACGGCGCTCAATTCTTTGAGATTCCGCCCACAAAAACGAGATGAACGGCCGAAAAACGATTTCTTTAAGGGACGGTGACGAGATCATAGAAGACATCAGGCTCCGGGACAAGATTAAACCTGCGTCTCTTTATAAATTTCATGATCTTATCCGCAACTTCCCAGCCAAAAATATAAAGAAATATCAGATGGTATTAAAAAAATGGATACCAAACCAAACGTATAGTTGAAAAAGGGGCATTATCAAAAATACATTTTCTTTTGCTATTTTAATTTCAACACATATCTTTTTTCGACTGTGACTCTATGACACAATGTGATCAGAAGTATAGTATGATCGTATGTATGTTAAATTTATGTATTTTTATCAAATAAGTAATGAGATATGTAAGAAATGAACATAATGAATTAATATGATCAACATAAATTTGATGTTATGATCCATAAGACCAACATGTGATCAGACTATATATTTCTGCTAACATGCGACCGACGTCGAGGAAATAAAAAGAGAATATTTTTTATATAATGAAAGATGAAAACAATTCGAGCGTTAAAAATATTTTTCTCTAAATTTAAATAATGAATATGACTCGCGGTCCTAATTTTAAGGCAATCTTTGTGGGGTCTGCAACATGCGACCACGTCGAAGGAGAAAAAAATATATTTTCTCTAGGAAACACGTTATCCTAACTTCGGGACATCTTAATTTTGTATCATCGTGCCTCTTAGATCTACAACATGCAACCGACCTCGAGGAAATGAAATAAAATACTAAAAAGAAAATTATAGAAACAAATCTGATCGTATCATAATTATATGATTAATTGCCCCCGAATTCGCATGTGGGCTCCATTACATTTTCCACGCATTCCTAAAGATTCAGTGTTTTAATTAAAAGTTCGATTTTAGTAAATTATTCATCAGGAGTTCTTCGATTAAATTTGCATTATCTAAAAATGCATTCATCAGGAGGTGTTTTTATATATAATTTTATAATATTAATTCAAATAAGAGAGAACAACCAACGTTGAAAAGAGAAATGTATCGGATTATAAGAATATTTTTCTCTAATTATGAAAATGAATATGACTCTTTGTCCTGATTTTAAGGCCACATATTCAAATTAAAAGAGGCCACCGTATAATGTTATATCTCAATTTTGTTATCGTATCTTAAGGTGGTTATAAGGTTTTATTTTAGATTTTTATTTTCATTTCTTTGAATCTCAATGTTTTAAAAGTTTTCACCATGAGTTCTAAGATTTTTTTTCACAAATGCATTCAACATTATGCGGAAAAAAAGTAATCACGTAGTATTTATTTAATAACATTTTTTTTATGATTTCTTTATATTTTTCTCCACCTGGATTGATATTTAGTATGAGTAATCATATATTAAGATTTTTATGACATTAATAAAGGAAGTAAACGCTTGAGTTCCCCGAGAGAGGCGTATAATATTGGTTGCAACGTGCAGCCAAGGTGGCAAAATTATTATTAATAATAATTAAAAAAAATAATCAGAAAGCTCAGGATTTGGCATTATAAATACAACACCTTTTCTTCATGGGTGAATGCCTGGGAAAATCAAAGTAAAAAAAAAAAAACAGAAGGAAAAAGGGAAATATGGCTAGTTCTGTGACCATCGCTGCATCGATGACGATCATGCTCTTGCTGTTACTATCGACTTCCATTGGCAATTCTTCAACTTTGCCGATTCAAATTATATATATATATATATATATATGCACATGCATGTCACATCCTTATGCATGCATGCGTATTGCAAAATGTATCATTAATAATGGTACTATAAATCATGTTTATAGGGAGCGCGAAAGGTGAGACGGACTGCAACCGTGTGGCCGACAATCTGCATCACTATGTACACGAAAATTGTCGGGACGGCCCGACATCAATGTGTGGCGCTTACTGCTTTAAGGATAGCGGCGGCGCTTGCAACGGAAAATGCCATGATCGAAAGTGCAGTTGCTTTCCCACATGCGACATTATAAGTAAAACGCTGGTTGCATATTTTTGGCCGGATGACGGATACGGCTACAGAATGTGCGACATTGAATGTCGGGGTGGGATTTGCGAAGCCGCACTATACCTGCTTGCCTGTGAAAATGCAACGCGATAACAAAAATGAATAACACACGTGTTTGCATAATTTGTAGGACAAACAGGGTCGGAACAAAGCTGCTTCAAGGATTGTGCAGAGAAGGTTTGTGATGCAGCTTGCGGGGCGGAAAGCTTAGGGTACTGCAAGGGAAGAAGAGCTAACGATGTTAGCTGTCAGTGCTTCCGGCCCTGATGGAGAATTCATGCTCCGATCCAAATATGGATATTCTATCTCTTTCAGAAAGTGGGACATGTTCATGTTCTGATTTTCCGGTTTTTTTTTTTCTTCGAATTTCCGAATAAAAATGATGCGAATGATACGTATCGTGTGTGTGGATGGGTACGTCCGCCATGTTTGTCCTTTGGAGTTGTCTTTCATGTGTGTTGTGATTTGATCTTTTCCCTGGTTGTATTTCATATTTCTGTGTTGTTTGAATCTGAAATCTGATGAATAATTTATACGGTTCCCTTCTTCAGTATTGTTGATAACAGTTGAAAACGTATCCCTATAAATAGCTCATATATATATATATATATATCGACATTTTAATATGATTTTATATCATGCGTTACCGTTTGTATTTTTTTTTTTCTATTACTCGAATATTTACATATATATATAGAGTTCTCACAAAAAGAGAATCAACACGTGTTTCCAGGACGGTAACTACCATTTCAAACGATCTTAGACGAACTAAAGACATTGATCTAAGAATTCATCAGGAACCAACATATATTGGACTAAATACATTGATATAACAATTTAGAAACCAAAATTTCATATAAATACACCAACTTTCTTGTACATCACATTCCCCTTCATACGTGGCAGGCCTCGTTGATCCATATGCTTGCCTTCAACATATATAAGTGATGAGCAACAATGTTGTTTATGGAAAATTAGATGCACGACCCCTTCGATTGTCTCCATCTTCCTTTGAATATGTTATAGAAAAATATAATGCGGAAATAAAATAAGACAAATAGAAAGAAACAGAATTATTTTTATTGCTACATCTCTTCTTTTTATTGTTGCATTACAATGAAAATGACTTACATATTTATAGGAAAACTATCATATCAAATAAAAAGAAATAGAAATAAATAAGACCGGTACACAATATTTGATATAATATTATGTCTATTATTATTTCTAATCATATCTTAAAATCAATATTTCCTTCAATCACATATTCATTTTCCTATTGCAACATATATTTGGTCGAATCTTCAACAAGCATTTGGTTTATTTATTTTACAAACATTTAAAAAAGTGCAAATATTGCATGTGTTCCACGAGAGAGGTTTATGATATTGTGGGAAATAAGAGAGAGAGAGAGAACAATCGAGCTGGAAGAATAGAAGAAGTATCTGATCGTATCGAATTGAATGAATAAAAAACGTATAAGAAAAATTAATGATTTTATCAAATTAAGAAAATGAATATGACCACGATGTCCTAATTTTGAGGCATCTTAACCGGATCAAGGAATCGAGCACGCTGACCCTAACCGGATTTGCCAGACAAAGCCACGTAATAATGCTATATTTTAATTTTATCAACCGTATATCGTCTTGGAAGAAAATAAAATATGTATGAAAGAAATCATAGTTAAGATACATTAACGAAACGTGGATTCCGCGAATTCGCATTATAAATACATTGGTTTGTCTTGTGGGAAAATCAAAGGGAAAAAAAAACGTAAAAGAAGAAGAAGAAGAAACAAAGGAAGATGGCACAGACGCTAAGCAACGTCAGCTTAACTGCATCGATGGCGATGCTCATGGTGCTACTGTCAACCAATATAGGTAATGATTGCAGATTCAATTATGCTGTACATCTACATATATATATATATATGTATGTATATGTAACATGCATGAAGCATAACATACTGAGAAATATGAGAGTGTATATATGTAAATAGGGAGTGCGAAAGGGAAGACGGACTGCAAGGGGGTGGCGGACAATCTGCATCACTTTGTACACGAAAACTGTCGGGATGGACCGACGTCGATGTGCGGGGCCTACTGCTTTATGGGCAGCGGCGGTGATTGCACCGGAAAATGCGCAGACAGGAAGTGCAGTTGCTTCCCCAACTGCGACAGAATATTTACACAGTTTTATTTTAGACCTTCCGATGTCTGGATGCCTCCAAGGGCACTTTGTCAGTACAAAAATCCCGACGGGAATTGCAGTGACTTTTGCAAGAGACAGAGTGGAGGCAACTGCAGTGGAAGATGCACCACTCACGACATTAATGGCTGCAAGTGCTTCTTACCAGCTTGATCCATATATCTACTTGTCTGTTTGTGTTTTGTTTTTTGTCGGGGAATTTCCGAATAATTGGTTCGTCCATCGTATCATATCTCTGTGTCTGTCTTGTCCTTCTTCCCCTGTGTGTTGTGTCTTGTTCTTTTCCACTATATTTCATATATATATATATATGTGTGTGTGTGTGTGTGTGTGTGTGTGTTGTTTCATTTTGAAAAATGAATGAATAAAGTTTTCTCCCTTAAACATATATATATATATATATATGTATATATATTCCTGCTTTCAACCCTTTATAAATTCCATTCGAAATGAATAATAATGCATGTGCGACAAATATCGTACATCCTAGGTAAAGAGATATATCCAATCAAAACTCTTAAAATTTCTACTTCTAGGTTTGATATAGTTTATATATATATATATATATATATAATCATGGCTTCTGCGGCATTTTCTTTAACAGGCTATCAATCGATAATCACTTCTTCAGCATAACATGGTTTTATCCCCTCTACCCTTTTGGACCTCATTTTCTTTCAAACATTCCATTTGGTCTAAAGTTAAATTTAAAAATTAATCTAAATAATAATTACATAACTAATTCTATTTTCAACATATATATATACACTATTCATTTACATCTGAAATAACGAAAATTTTAAATTTTTTTAAAAAAAGAAAACTTACAAATGAGTTTTTTTTTTTAAATTTAAAAAGAAACTATTGATTTCCTGTTTTGGAATATGGATTTTATAACAGAAACTAGGAATGTGAAATAAATTAATTAGTCATAAATTCAATCAGTTAAATGATTTCTTAACTTACATTGTAGTTAATATATTGATCAATTTTCTTGCACTCAAATTTGCAAGTTGCTATAATTTTTCATAAACTCAATAACTTGAATTTAAATCTATAATATATTAAACTTTGTAATAATATGCTGTTGAACTAATGACTGAATGAGGATGTCTATAAAGAAAACGGGTCCGATTATTCGGTTCAACCTAATCTGAGCCAATTATAAACTCAAATGGGTTAACTAAATATCGAAATACTCGCTTCTAATTTATATACATATACATATTTATAATTATAAATGAATACGTATGTAAATATGTAAAGTAATTAAATATGCTTAGTGGGTCAATCCAACAGCCCAATCATTATTATTATTATTAGGTCAATCCAATCCTTATGGATTAGGTCCATATAGATTGGATCCATCCAATTCATATCTCTAGATGTCTAGAGACTAAATCCATTCCTTGGCCAAGATTAATAAGATAGAGAAAGTTCTTGATGCATGTAAATCTTCAAAAGGGTACGTCTCAACCAAATAGCACATTACCAAATTTGATATAAAATTGAATATGTATAATTTATTTTAAAAAATGGGAATATAGAATTCGACCCAAGTACAAAAAAAAAACTTTCTTTTAAAATAAGAATTTCATCAATAAAAATCTCATTCCAATCAAAATGAGTCGACTATGAATCAAAACGGATCCAGCATTCGTAATGGTGTTGGCCCGGAACTAGAATAGTATTCGGCAACATAAAATTTAAAATTTAAAATCAAAATAAATAAAAGTATTTTGGTCGGTTTTCATCATCTTTGTTAATTCAGGCTTCTTGGCACGATTCATTGATCTTGTTACAATAATCAACGATTAACGACTATACTTATTCAGAGATTAAAGATTAACTTTGTGATCTGGTTACAATTTTTATTTTTTAAGAAAATGCCAGTGGAAGCCCATGTGGATCGTTAATCCATTATTATGCTTATTTAGATGAGATTATAATTTTTTAGGCTTGTCTCCGTTTATAATATTTGAGCCGACCATGCTTGCACAAATGCTTTTAAGTTTTTAATGGAACTAGCTGAGCTAAGACAAAATTATCTAAACAGATTTAACTAGTGTAACATTTTTATACTAATATTATATACTATCATAAGGGAATCTTTTAATAAATCGCACATGGTCCAATATTTTTTAAGCAGTGTGATTTTCTTAATTATTTGCTTGTCAAATTTGATGTGCTACAATTATATATATATATATATATATATATATGTTTAACAAGTGAAAAAAAACGTGCCAAAAACTTCAAAATAGTCTAAATAAATAATTTAAAAACATTAACGTGCTTGCATAAGTTAGAAAACCCAAACATTTAAAATATACCTTATCTAAATGCCAAAAAAAATGGACACGATTGTTGACGCCGTTAATCAACCAATAGAAACATCCGGCGATCGATGACGACGTGAACGGACGGTAAATTGATATTAACACCAAGCCAAAAAAAAAAAAAGAAATTCTACACGAGTACTGTTTTTGTTCAAACAAACTAAATACGTTACCTTTTGTTCAAATTGATTCCAGTAACTCGGATAATTATTTGTAGTTGAATTATTCTGTTTTTATTCAAGTATTTAATATATATATATATATATATGGTTAAAAATCCCCTTAATATATGCGTATTTGATCAAGGTTATTAGGTAAAAAAATTTTGCACTAGGTGACCATGTTAGGATTTGCCATGAAGATCAACCCGCGTGTCCATATATATGTTTAATCTAAAACTTATTTTGTTATACCTTGATCGTATGTAAGCATATTGCACAAAGTTCTTGATGATGGTAAATCATGTATATAATCAGTTCATCTGATATGTGACCGCGTAAAAGAGAATTAAAAAAAAAAACATATATATATATACATACATAGATACAATCACTTATATATATATATAAATGCTTAATTATACAGTTACATGTACAAAATAGAAAATTCCTATATGCATGTGATTAGTCTAATAACATAAAATAGATATGGCATGCGATAAATATTTTGATTATAATATGAATAACATATATGGAAATCTCCTAATACACTATAAATACCGTTGGCTTGCTCATTCAGGATAACCAACTCGCAATCGCTATTGCATCTTTCATTCATACATATGGCTTTGCTTCAGCTCGGTTCATCTCTTGTTTGCTACAACAACGTCTTGCCAAAGACTTGGCGGCGGCCGGACACCATGAAACACCGCGCCCTGCCGCGGTTTATATGCTCAGCCGCCGATAAAACGGCTTCTCCTCAACAGTCCGTCGTCGTCACCCGTCGCTCCGCAAATTATCCGCCGTCATCTTGGGATCATAGTTATCTTCTATCCCTCGAGAATCAATACGCGGTATGTATTTCGATGAGTTTGAACTTTTATAACATAAAACTTTATATGTAGTTCTATTGCTATAAAAATGTGAAATCAATTATATATATATATATATATATATATATATATATATCCATATGGTAGCTATACATCCGTATGTTCAAACCAAAATATGATGCAGAAAGAAGGCAGAGTGAGAGAGAGAGTGAAAGTGTTGAAGGAAGAAGTGAGAAAGATGCTCGTCGAGACGGGGAATTCCAATGAGCAGCTAGAGCTCATCGACACTCTGCAAAGGCTCGGGATTTCGTATCACTTCGAGCACGAGATTGGGGATGTTCTGACGAAAATCCGCTACATGAACGACGTCGGAAAGAAACCAGATTTACACGCCACGGCGCTGAGATTCCGTCTCCTCAGACAACATGGTTTTAGCATCTCACAAGGTTATATTTACTGTCATAACAACAAAACAATTTCTGATACCAAAGAAAAAAATGTCCCTAATGTATATATATGGATACAATTGCAGATGTTTTCGACATTTTCAAGACAAGTTTGGATGATGATGACGATCTCAAAGGTCTCCTCTCCCTATACGAAGCTTCGTATTTATCGACGAAATCAGACAATAAACTGAAAGAAGCAAGATCTTATGCCAAGGATAGGCTAAGAGAATTTATAGAAAGAAGCTCAAATGATGATGATGATGATGATGATGATGATGATGATGATGATGATGAAACTCAGTCGTATATGAGGAAAATGGTGATCCATGCCCTTGAGATGCCGTACCATTGGAGAGTGAGAAGATTAGAGGCACATTGGTACATTAATGCGTATGGGACGAGACATGATGTGAACCCTCTCTTGCTTGAGTTCGCCAAGCTCGACTTCAACATGGTACAAGCTGTTCATCAACAAGACCTCAAGCATCTCTCCAGGTAAATAAAAATAAAATAAAATAAAATCTTATTATATATATATATATATATATATGTATGCATAATTTGAGTGTAATTAACGTCGTATCACTAGAATATTTTTGAATATATGTGTTGGTTCCTTCATATGCATGAAGCTGGTGGAAAGACACGGGGCTTGCGACACAACTTGATTTCATAAGAGATAGAATCACTGAGCACTTCTTCTGGGGCCTGGCTTTGGTCGATGAACCTCATCTTGGATACCACAGAAGGATATTGACTAGAGTGTTCACGTTCATGAGTACACTTGACGACATATATGACATCTACGGAACCGTTGACGAGCTCGAAATATTTACGGACGCTATCCACAAGTAAGTATTCATTACACCACCGACTATATAATATATATACACATATATTGTTCAATTAATTTATATATATGTTTTTCAGGTGGGATGTGAACCGTCTAGAAGAACTTCCTGAATATATGAGGTCGTGCTTTCTCGTTTTGTATAACAATATTAATGAGATCGGGTTTGAAGTTCTCAAAGATAAAACGGTCAACGTGATACCTTATCTAAAAGATGCGGTAAGTATTTGTTTCTGTAAACCCTAGGAACCGATTCGATACACATGTAATAAAAAAATGGTTATGTAATGGTTTTATTTTATTTTGACAGTGGGCAGGTTTTGTGACATGTTTATTAACCGAGGCGAAATGGCACAAGAACGGGGAGAAGCCAAGTCTCGACCAGTACATGGACAACACTATGATTCTTGCATCCGTAGTGTTACAACCCCTTTACTGTTCTCGTTATTCCGACAAGAACTCCGTTCCAATCTTAGACGCATCATCCGATAACTACCTATCCGTCATCCGCTCCTCCATGGTTGTTCTTCGTCTCGCCAACGATCTCGGGACTTCGTCGGTAAGTTTTCAAAGACGGGAACATAACTAATAAAAAGGTTAAATGATATATTACGAAGTAATGATCAATATATATAAATATATAACGTTTGTAGGAGGAGATGGCAAGAGGGGATACTCCGAAATCGATACAGTGTTACATGAGCGATACGGGGGCCGAAGAGGGGGAGGCACGCGAGCACATCCGGGGGATGATCGACGACGCGTGGGACGAACTCAACTACGAGAAAACCGCGAGAGAGACTACGCTCCCTCAGGGTTTCGTCGAAGTTGCGATGAATCTGGCACGTGCCTCGCAGTGCGTGTATCAGTACGGTGACGGACATGGCCATCCGGACGACGACAGCAAGATGGCTGACGATATCCGGTCCTTGTTTATCAACCAGCTTCCTCTTGATTAAATCTATTAAAGGGTACATGGGGAATGGGTTGTAATAATGATAAGCTTTTTATCTGTGTTCGTTTTCTATGTGAATTTCGGAATAAGTGACGTCATGATACGGTCCACCATATGCGTCGTGACTCCTTTTAATATAATTTCATATTTTTGTGTATGTGTGTTTTTTTTTAATTTGGAAATTAAATCTTATAACCGCAAATTTGATAATTTCGATTAATTCTCGATCCGGTCATTTCACTAGCTAGTATCTTGTTTTACACGGGAAATCAAACTCAATTATGATCTGAAAACTGGTTTTCCACAGATGATTGGCTCGGTTTTTGTAATTAAACCGAGTACATCAAAATGACTAATTTGCCCTTAGACCTTATAAACCGACTTAACAGCCTATTCCAAAAACGTCGCCGTTTGCATAAGTTCGGACTTTCTCCCTCGTTCTGTGTCTGTGATTCTCCCGCACGGGTGGAGGCATCTTGAATCTAAAATTATAAATTTTAAAATTCTTAATCTTAAACATTAGATTCTAAAATATAATCGCTTTAAAATTTAAGATTAGAGTTTACAAATATAAAAGCAAGTTAGAAGAGTTAAATGAGAAAAAAAAAGATTGAAAAGTGAATTAAAAACTATTAGATGGCGTAATAAAAATAACATCGAATTTTTACAGGTTAAAGACATAAAAGGATGTAGTATTTAATATTTATATACATAATTAGAAACGATAATGAATAGACAGATGATTGAAAATTTTGGCGGGACCCTGCAACGGTAACAAGTATGAATTGGCGAAGAAGCATTTTGCACGTGATGTACTGAAAACCAGACAAAAAGAAAAGACAATTTATAATACTCTATTGGTTTCAAGTGTATTGAATCAAAATATCCCCGAAGACGTGTTTGGTGTGACTTCTGTCTTCCTTTGCTGTCTTTCGCGGTTTCTGACCAAACATTTCTCGCACTTTTACTTTTTATTTTTACAAATTATATGGCCTATTATTTCGTGCATTTTTTAACTTTAAAATTTTAGTTTTTATTTTCTATTGCATTTTCTTGTTTTTCATACTTAGTTTTCTTTTCTTTCTTTATATTTTGTTCTTATTGTTCACCATGTAAAAGTTCGTACTATTTAGTATAAATATTGGATATTATGCAGAATAATTTTTAAATTTAATTCTTACTGCTTACTATAAACTTGTATAAATTTGGATGAAACTAAATTAACACATATTGACTACTTATATTAACTGTTGAGTACTATATGACCTCAAAGCGAAATAGATAAACTTATTATTTTTTTATTAAGTTTAAACTTCAAATTTTAATATTATGGTTAAAGTTCATCGATACTTTCCACATAAAAAAAACCAAAAAATCTATAAATTCCTATTTTTGGTTTACTGACACAACGGTGAGCTGGAACCTATGAAACCGTCCTCGTCTCCACGGCTATTGACAGCCATATTAAATAAAGCCCCAGAGAAGAAAAAAAATTAGTGAAGACGGGTTCGATAATCCGTTCGTGCCCGAGTTTCGCCATTAAAATTCTCGCAAACCCAATTCTCCAGATCCACAAAAGGCCAAATCTTTGACGAGATTCTTCGAAATTTTCACCCAAAATCTGCTAATTCCCATCACCCGAAAATCTTGAAAGCTTGTGTTTTTCTTTGAAAGATTTGAATATAAGAGCTCGTGTTCGTGTATTTAGGATCGTGTAGTTTTGTAATTGCAAAGATGAGTTTCAGAGATGATACGGAGGATGGGAGGAACGATCTTCGGAGACCGTTCTTACACACAGGGAGTTGGTACCGGATGGGTTCGATGCAATCTAGTATGTTGGGTTCGTCGCAAGTGATTCGAGACAGTTCAATCTCGGTCTTGGCATGCGTCTTGATCGTTGCCCTTGGCCCTATTCAATTCGGATTCACGGTAACAGATGGATAAAATCACATCCTTTAAGTGCTTTTTTTTTGGGTTATGTACGGAAATGTGAGATTTTTTTCATCTAAATATAAGGAAATGTTTGTAGGAGATTAATAATGCGAGGAGAATTTTATGATCCAGGGATGTTAATCGCATTCTATGTAATCGAGTGATATTTGAAATTTGTGTACTAACTTTGCTGAACAGAGGTTTTGGTATAGTGTGTGTCGTTAGGTTCAAGCAATCCAGAAGACGGAAAATGGGCATATTCTGATCTGTTTCTTTGAATTATATTTCATTTTATTCAGTGTGGGTACTCTTCTCCAACTCAAGCTGCCATCACCAAGGATCTCGGCTTGACGGTTTCCGAGGTGAAGATCTTGTCTAAATCTAGCATTCAGTGTTTTATTGTGCTTGGTTGATAGTTGATGATTTGGATTATCTTGTTCCATGTTTTAGTTCTCTGTGTTTGGTTCTCTGTCCAATGTGGGTGCCATGGTTGGGGCAATTGCCAGTGGTCAGATTGCAGAGTACATTGGTCGGAAAGGGGTATGGTTCTTTTGATGATTCTTGATTGCTCCCCTCTCGATAATGACTTCTAAAATGTCGGTTCTTTCTGTATCTTATATCGGACAATTGACATCGATGATTGTGTGTGAACTTGCAGTCTCTGATGATTGCTGCAATTCCTAATATCCTTGGCTGGCTTTCCATATCATTTGCAAGAGTGAGTTGTTTTTTATTTGTTCTTTGGTTTCTGTATCTGGTATTTGCTTAATTCAATTGATGCCTTGGCTTGAACATGTTGACCTACTCTCTAAGCCATCCGGGTTTTGTAGGATACTTCCTTTCTTTACATGGGACGGCTATTAGAAGGTTTTGGTGTGGGGATCATCTCTTACACGGTAATATGAAACTTGAATGGTCATTTGCTTCAGAAATTTTAATGGCGCAATGCCTGCATTATATTTATTTCTACTTTTCCTTGATTCAGGTGCCTGTATATATAGCTGAGATAGCTCCACAAAACTTGAGAGGTGGATTGGGTTCGGTTAACCAGGTCAAGCTTGTTTAGCCGTCTGTTCTTCTGTACATTATATGGGACAGTCTCTTTGTGTTTTGACTTGGAATGTTGAATGTTTTGTTTTATAGCTCTCTGTTACAATTGGAATTATGTTGGCTTATTTGCTCGGTCTCTTTGTTCCCTGGAGAATTCTTGCGGTTTTGGGTAAGTGTCACGATATTTGATTGAAGATGGATCAAAGCTGGAGTCTTTTTCTCCTTTACATTCTTTCGGATAACATGGATTTCATGGCTGTCATTGTTATTTTCAGGTGTGTTGCCATGTACAATATTGATACCAGGTCTCTTTTTCATTCCTGAATCTCCTCGGTGGCTGGTAAGACAGTTGAAAGCTCGCTGACTGTTCTGTAATTTAGCTCATTTGCCGGTTATCCTTTCTTAGCGATGCTTTGTTTCATAAATGTAGGCCAAAATGGGTTTCACAGACGATTTTGAGACTTCTTTGCAAGTTCTTCGAGGATTTGATGCCGACATTACCACTGAGGTCAATGAAATCAAGGTAAAATAGCACCCGAAAATGCTTTCTTATTGTATACAGACTCACAACCCAGTTGCTATATGTAATAAGGGAACATTATTCGAATTAAATTATCATTTTCTGCACTCTGCAGAGATCTGTAGCATCATCTAGCAAACGTTCTACAATCCGGTTTGTAGACCTCAAACGCAGAAGATACTATTTCCCCCTTATGGTACAACTCTTCAGACATCTGGAACTAATTCCTGTCTGGTCTGAGAAAGAATTCTCTTACGCTTCGTTTTTACTTTCGGATTATTGGGTTACAGGTTGGCATAGGGTTGCTTGTACTTCAACAACTTGGAGGAATTAACGGCGTCCTGTTCTATTCCAGTACAATTTTTGAGTCTGCAGGTAGACCCGAGACCTTAGAAAGTTCATTGAAGAGAGCAGAGATCTGTTGCATTTCTCTCGGTTTCATCTGCTTCTATCGATCTAAAACTACATTTTTCTTGTTCTGGATAGGGGTTACATCAAGTAATGTGGCTACATTCGGGGTCGGTGCTATTCAGGTATAGCTTCAACATAACTTAGCCTGGTGTTACCACCTGCAAGAATCTAAGGAAAATATTAGATGCAACTCTCACCTGTCTTTGGTTCTCACCAACCAGGTCATTGCCACTGCAGTAGCAACATGGTTGGTGGACAAGTCAGGACGTCGGCTTCTTCTTACAGTGAGTAAACAATAAGACTCATATCGTAAGATCCGTGAAGAAGAAATTGCTAAACCGATGGAATGGCTTCTGTCTGAATGCAGATATCTTCTGTTGGGATGACAATTAGCGTCGTTATCGTGGCGACGGCCTTCTATCTGAAGGTATTCTTTAACATCATCGCTTCCAGGCATCTATTTTGGAAAGAGATTACATTGCAAAGAAACCCTTCTCTCTTCTCTCACGTCTCCTTTTATAGGGCTTTGTATCAGCTGATTCCAACATGTACAGCATTCTGAGCATCTTGTCTGTAGTTGGAGTAGTGGTACGCTGTTGGTTCTTCCCGTTTACGTTTTCGTTTGTTATTATCGTTAACTTTTTCTTGCTGCAACTCGTGATATATGTTTGCCCGGCCGGCCATCTTTTTACAGGCTATGGTTGTTGCTTTCTCCTTGGGAATGGGACCGATTCCTTGGGTCATTATGTCTGAGGTACACCCGTATTCATTGAAATCGTTCCCCGTAACCTAACTTTGTTGCGTTTCTTGATGTTTGTTTCAGTGAAAACATCTCGAGGCAGTTAGAATGTTATGATATAAGAGTGATAATAACGCCAACCGAAAATGCATTTGCTGATACGCTGCCGAAACAGATCCTTCCGGTGAACATAAAGGGTCTGGCCGGAAGTATAGCAACGCTTGCCAACTGGTTTATCTCGTGGCTGATCACCATGACTGCGAACTTGCTCTTGGCCTGGAGCAGCGGAGGTTCATCCCTCTCTCTCTCTCTCTCTCTCTCTCTCTCTCTCTCTCTCTCTCGTGTTAAAGAGTTCTGTTTCCACAGGGACGTTTATGCTTTACGCGGTGGTATGCGCCTTCACGGTGGCGTTCGTGAGGCTGTGGGTGCCCGAGACGAAGGGGAAAACGCTCGAAGAAATCCAGGCATTGTTCAGATAATACAAAGGGCTTGTCTTTCGCCTTTCAAGAAACAAGAAGCAGAGAAATCTTGAGTCATATATGAATTGGCTTAGGACACATGCATCTCTTCTTCGTCTTAATTGTCTACCTTACGTGTTTTATGTTTTGTCTTCCATTCCATTGATAAATAAATTCAGAGGAAATGTGCTGATATCAATTTAATATATATATATAAAAAAAAAACTTTTGCAACGTATACTTTTATGTGCTGAGTCATCTAGAATACTTCTTACTTTATTGTTTATTATTAAATTTCAATGTTTACAACATTTTCATAAATAAATTTACGTAAATACCGATTTTCACGTATTTTATATTTATTTCTGTATCATACTCATATACTAATATTAAATTCTTTCTCCGATATGTTAATAATCCGTATGTACAAAGAGAATAACAAATTTCCATTATTATTCAGTAATTACCATAAGAATTAACCTATCGATAGAAAAACGAGGGCCAACTACATTTTCCTTTCCCCGATATTTTCTCCCGCATTCTATTGTATTTTATTGTATACATATTAATTAGATCTTATTCATTCCCCACTCGAAATAATGGATAAATTGAAATAACAAAATAAATAAATAACCGAGTCACCGGGTTCACCTAACCGGGACAACCACATCAAACCGGCTTCGTCCGTGCGAACCGCCGGTTTAGATTCACTAGTGACCAGGTCCGCTCGGGCTAGGACCCGAGGGCTTAATACTTCCGAGTGTATTCCTTTGATCCGCGAATCGATGCCCTTCCCCCGGACTCGGACCCGACTGCTTGATCGAACCGAGCGACAAACCGTCGAAAAAACCGACCATAAGCTTCTCTTCGGTTTGGCTAAGACCGAGGGGACGAGCCTCCACAAGAACCGAACCGATCAACATTAGGAAGAGAATCGAACCCATGAAGTTTTTCATCATCTTTTTTTTTTTTTTTCAGAAAGTATGTTTCTTGAAATGTTTTTGTATTTTGTGAAGTGGAGGAACTAGGAGTCGATATTTATAGTGTTGGCACGGCATACATACACACACACATATATATACAATACATGTATGTATATATGTAGAATTCAACAAAAGAAAACATGAGATTTTGAATTTGGATTCTTCATGGGAAACAACGTTGTTGTTGCGTGGGAGTTCTTGTTCTAAGTTTTGACTTTAAGTTGAATATTATTTACTAGTTCTTTTTTCTTTAAATACACCAACCAAGCCTCCTCACTCGCCATTTATTCCTTTTTTGTGTGTGTGTAGAAAAGTAATTGCCCAACTTTGAAGGGATAATCATATGTTATAAAACATTACCCTATTTTTCCTACGAGATACGTTGGTCGAATTTAGAATTTAATATATCGTGTTACCGAATTACACGTGTGCCAAAACTAAATTTCAATTTATGAACTTATGTTACCAAATTACACGTGTGCCAAAACAAACGTTTTTTCTCCGTAAACAACTTTGAATATATATACATATTCTCTACCATGGATTTTTTTCCCTCTGAAAACAATATGTATTTCTCTATCATGGATATGTATTGTGATAGAGAAAAAGATATGGATTTTTATTTATTTTATATGGTGAATATTTATGAGATTTTTAAGTGGGACTTCTGATATACTCCGTTTCAAAATATTTATAGTTTTAAATTCTTTTTCATTTTTTAAAATATTTGTCATTCTACATTTTCAATATATTTTTTTTCACAATAATTTCCAATTTTATCCCTATCAAATTATAATAAATTATTAATGATAACATTCTTTTTATCATTAGAAAAAGGTAAACGATGATTTTTTTTCTTTTTTATAAAAATATAAAATAATTTAAAATAACAATTATTTTGAAACGGAGGGAATATCTTTTACCGAATGGTCGTGAGATCCTCACAATAAATAAAAGGATTGCACGAGAGTTTAGTAGATACGAATATCGATAAATTATATATACCATTTACATGTGTTTTCGTGTCTGTATTTGCACTTAAAATATCAATCAATTAGTAACAATTAAACTAAATTCTGATTTAGGATTGTCTGCAATTTTATTTATATCTAAAAAATTATTAATATCCGTATGTCAAAAGATCCACAATTGCGGCTTATTCATCTGCATCCACAAAAACAGAAAACCCGAAATTCATAATTTTTCCGTGAAAATTTAGTCGCTTTTGGTTTAATCTGTACCAAAATATTTTAAATAATATATTTTCGGATTTTTAAAAATATTTATCTGGAAAAAAGATTTGGAAAAAACAATCACAAAATAAAATTCAACATTGATCCATTGTTGGTTTAGAGCTGTAAACCAATCAGAACTAATCATGTCCAAAAAAAAAAAAAAAAAAAAAGCAAAACAGAAAAGACAGAACAGAACAATGCAAGAGAAACCTAACAGCAATGGATGAGATCTGGAGTTTACAACATGGAAAAACAACACTGCAAATTCAGATTTCCGACAGAGAGAGAGAGGATCTAATAGAAAACCATCCTCTAAATCCTAGAAATTTAATGCCACTGGATAATTATGAATGCAATCTTCCCAGGCGCTGTTCTTTGACGGCTTTACGTTCCTTAGCGCTTCCCAGACCGCACTGTTGCATTTGAAGCCGCTCCCGAAAGCAATCTGCCAGACCCGGTTTCCTCTGCGCATCCTCCCCTTCGCCTCCGTATAAGCCAACTCGTACCATATTGAACTCGATGATGTGTTTCCGAATCTGTGGAGAGTCATCCTCGACGCCTCAACATGAACCGGTAAAAGCTGCAGATTCTTCTCTAACTCGTCTATCACAGCTCTCCCGCCCGCATGGATACAGAAATGGTCGAATGCCAGTTTGAAATCCGGGATATAGGGCTTGACCTTTCCCTTAGAAAGCTTCTTCATGATCAGAGTGACAAAGAACAGGAGCTGTTCGCTTATCGGGAGAACAAGGGGACCTAACGTAGTGATGTTGGTCTTGAGGGTTTCACCTGCAATAGCCATTAGATCTTTGGACAGGGAGACACCGGTTCTTCCAGTGTCGTCCTGTTCTTGGTAAACACAGCGGAAGGCCTTGTCATCGGCTCCACGATGGGTTCTCACCACATGGACAAGCTGGTACTTGGCCCGTCTTCTGTCCCGTGACTTGTTAGAGAGCAAAACAGCCGAACCCCCAACTCGAAACAAGCAATTCGGTATCAGCATTGCCTTCTTATTGCCAAAATACCAGTTCTGGGTAATGTTTTCGGTACTGACAACAACTGCATAAGTGTTCCTATGGACCTGCAACAAGTCTTTGGCAAGATCAACCGCTATAATACCTGCACTGCAACCCATTCCACCCAGATTGAAGCTCCTGATATTGCCTCTCAACTTGTACTTATTCACAATCATTGCGGACAATGAAGGTGTTGGGTTAAACAAACTACAATTCACGACAAGAATACCGATGTCCTTAGGATTCACATTTGTGTTGCTGAAAAGGTTATCCAAAGCACCAAACATGACTTGTTCGGCTTCCTCTCTTGCAGCCGCCATTGACGGCCTCGGAGGAATGCAATGCATTGCCTCAGGAACATAAGTCTCTTCTCCTAAACCAGAACGCTCAAGAATCTTCCGCTGAAATTCAAGCGCAGACTCTTCGAAATCACCGGTGAGCCTTGAATGTTCCATGAACCGATTAAACGGAGCTTTGAGATGATCGGGAGGGCGATAACAGGAGTAATCAACCAAGTAAACGGGTCTTGGTCGGGTCATGACATAAACAGTCAAACCGAACACCAAAATCGCAGAACAGATTATAATACTAACGAGATTGTACTGAAGATGAACCCAAAGCTGCCGGAGATCATCTGGGTTCATCTGAGAGGCTTCGACGGAGATAACAACGATCAAAGGGAACAAACACAGGGCCAACAGATTCGAGATTAAATAATGATAACCCAATTTCACGTACTTGAGATTCACGCTCTGGAGAAAATCCGGCAACCTCCGAGTCTGTCGGATCTGAACTCCGACCGAACCGCCGCCACCACCGCCGTTTCGTGATTCGCCGCCACCATCCATTGCGACTGGTCAACAGTCGAATAAACTGACAAAAATCGTGTCGCAGCCTCTGAATGTTTATCGAAAACGAGAAGATCACAAAAATATATCCCCTGTTTTTAATTATTTTCCCGATCTGAAAAGGACCATGAAAGCGACAACGATGACCCACAAAAACCCAGCGTTTGAAACTAAGAAAAGATGCGGAATTTATGAAACCCAGGAACCAAATTGTCAGAAGAAAAATAGGGTTAGTTTTGAATTTGTGAGGAACACGAGAGACGGAGGGAACACATGGAATTGAGAGGCAAAATTGAGTTGGGTTTCGAAGGATTCCTGAAGAAATCAAAAAGATTTTTTTTTTTAAAAATTTTGAAATGCTTTTTTTTTTCCTGGTAAGGTGTTCTCTGTAGGGGTTGGGGGGAAGGGTCCACGTTTTGAAACGAATCTTTGCCAAAGCACAGCAAAAGAGGACCGTCAACCATGAGGGGGCATGAGCTGTTTTCTTTTCCTTTTAATTATAATTTTTTTATTACTGAAAAATATAATCCTTTTTATTGGTAAAATTTATAGTTATACTGAAAGAGAATATTTTTGTAAGGCAATATCACGAAAATATAAGAAAAAGATAACATGATAAGGAAAATATATTTATTTTTTATTTTAAAAGGATTTTTTTACAAATGATCACAGCATAAAATTACCTTTTACAATATAAAAAAATGAAAAAATTAATGAAAAACTAATTTTTTTTTTACTTCCAGTCATCCAGACAAATAAAAATTGAATAAATTAACGAAACAAAATTTATTTTATTTGTTACCATCTATCATGTTTTTTGTTTTTTTGTTTTTAATTTGAATTCTTCCGCTTTGTTTGATAGGAGTTTTAATAACTAATTCAATTTATTTTAAGATTTATATAATTTTCTCATATATTTTAGAAAATACATCCGATATTTTTTTAATGTCTTTCAATCCAGTGATTAAATTCGGAAAAAAATAATTGATTTTGAAAATTTTGGAAAAACAAAATCGGATTATTTGTTTAATTTTAAAGAAAACGAAAAGTTCTAAAAAAACGAGCATTAACTTTTTGAGAAAACTCGGTTGAACCAAATTAATTAAAAAAAAAAGGAAATTGCAGTTTTCCAGAATAAATCATTTGTTTTCATTTTATAATTTTACTTGTAGAAATTTGTTGTTTTTTTTTTCATAATCTATGTATGTGAATTCTATATTTGGTCTAGGGTTTATATTTCCCCTTTGTGCATTGACCACGACCAATTTTTTAGACTAGAAATAGAAAAAAAAAAGCATTTAGGTCATTGTTTAACAAGAGGATTGTACATATCTTGATGGAAACTAATAGATAATTGTCAATATAATAATATTTCTATTTTTTATTCGAGCTAATATAATTTTAGTCAATATTTGCTATTTCAAGTTATCATTTTTAAATTTGTTGTAAAACCCCAAGAATGAAAATATTTGTTAATTTAATACCAAGTTGAGGTAAATGATATAAGGAAAAAAAACGTAAACGATCAATCATCCAGCCAATATAAAAATAACCTTAGAAAAGAACAGAAAATCAACAGGTCAGAAATTGCAGGTACAGACCAAATAATTGGGCTAATCATCTTCCTTATTATAAAATAATTACAATAATAATTGCGGTAATCCTTCCTCCTTAAAGCTTGTAATAAATATTTTCATAACTAAAACCAAACTATGTTTCATTTAATCATTCTTCCTTAAAGCTTGTAATAAATGTAGTCATTTAATAGCATTTAAATTATTATTATTATTTTATTTAGTCGGTGTTTATATTTCCCAAAATGATTCTTTAATTTTGTTGTATTTCTTAAACTGTTTTCCTAGTTTTCTGTGTATTATTTATTTATTCTTATTATATTTGAACACCTTGCAAGTTTTCAGCCTAAACGATTTTGTTATTCTAATCAAGTGTATGTATAGTCATGCATAATTCCAATTGAAATTTGAATTTGAAATATATTTAATTTCTAAATGAAATGATACGTCAAATTTAAAATTGAAAAAAGAAAGAAAACTCTAATTAAATGGTTATATAGATGGGTGGAAGGTTGGATTGGGGAAAGAAAAAAAAGGGAGAAAATTAGTCAAGTAATATATTCATAAGAAAAAATAAAATAATTATTATTTTCCCAAACTTTCGATTATAATGTAATTGTAGTTATAATTCTTCCACCTTGCTATTAGGTTTGATTTCAATAAGCTAAAGTTGTTTTGTATTCTAACATTTGAAAATACTTTCATATTTCATTTTTTAAACCAAAATAATTAGTTTTATAAAAGAAAAAAAAATGATAAAATGCTAACATAATTACATCATTCAATTATGCAAATATTTTATATTTGAAAAGAATAATTTGATCCATAAAACTTTGGACTAATCAAACAGTAAGGAGATAATGAAACAATGACAATCTGCAAAAGTACAATGGGATTCTCATATTGTTTTGTATCTCTGTTTCTTATTAGACTTTGCCCATTGGGAATTCTACTCTAGATTCTAACTAATCCCTTTTTGTGTCTCAATATAATTTATTTTTAATCCCTTTTTGTAGGAACTTTAGTTAGAAGATACACACAGAAAAATTCTTTGCAGTTAAATAATATTTTTTAAAAAATAATGAAAATACTTGTACTATTTTAATTTATATTTGGTGTATGATGCGTCCAATTGTCAAAATCCCAAAACTCCAATTCGAAAATCATCTTAAACCGAATTAAAAAAAAATTGAATATTTCATCTCATCGAATCCGAACTGATCCACCACACAAATATCCAATGATCAAATTCCCAATAATGAGGTTGTATTGTTTCAATTATTTGTGACTTCTTTTTATACATCCGTAATTTTTAAATACTTTTTTCCCAAAATTCTATAAAATATCAATTCGATATAAAAATAGATGAAAATGCTCAAGCTAAAGAGAAACAGAAGGCCATTCATCCATCAAATCAGTTTTATCAGTTTTCAAAATCAAACTATTTTCCACTCTATGATTTGAAATGTTGATCCTATATATACATATATATATACATACTTGGATTATAAACCTAACATAGGATTTGAGACACGTTTATTAAAATATAATAAAACAAAATATATCAAGGACGAAATCATTTTCTTATTTTCAAATTGGCAATGTCAATGCTCAAAACGTACCAACACACACGGGTGGAATTGGAATATGACCATACCAAACCTAGGTTTTCTACTAATGCCACTGACAAAATTCCATTATACAATCTCCAAAACATGCCCTCTACATCAAATTGCATCTTCAACAAAAAAAAAAAAAAAGAGTTCAATCAATTAAAGACTTTTAAAAGGAAACACAATCACGTGAATCACGTGGACCGACAAAGAGATGTCATGTCACAATATGAGAGTGAAATTATTACATTTTGACCAGATTAAGCGCCAGTCATATTGCACATGTGACGGAAACTCAATAGCAAGAGAACCGTACACTAACCGGGCCGGGGCGGGCTTGGGCGTGTCGGGTATTAGTACAAGGGAAGGCCGTGGAACTCATCATGGGGCATGAAGTCTTCATTGGGTCGGTAATACTTGTCCGGGGAATACAACATTAAGTTGGACACTTGACTTGTGTAAAGGCACGCGAATCTCTCCACCTGACACCACAAAAGAAAAAAGCGTTTAGTTTAAGTGACCGCAAACGCAAAAGCGAACCACGAACAGGCGTTTGGTGATAGCGTTTTACCTGGTGAGCGAATCGGGAACTCTGATACCCGGTTTTCATCAGCTGCCCCCAGACCTTGTGGAACTGAGGTTCCAATTGAAAAAGTTTTTCAGAAAAACACACGACTGGAGATTATCATTTTTCGCAGTTAAAACAAAGTAGAGGAATGAGACTGGTTGTACCTTTTGGTGGCATTCCCTTTGAGTTTCTTGATGATTCAGTCGTATTTGATCCCTTTGAGACTGTGAATTTCGAAAGAAAAAACGTGTTAGGGACTTAGCCCGGAACCACTGTGACCATGTGTTCATGGAGGGTCGGGGGAATTTAGTAGATCTTCCAAAATGGGCTTACATCAAGTTCCTCGAGCGTTGAAACCATTTTCTGCTTGAGTTTGTCGTCAAGATCCTCGAACCTGAACGATTTGAATGCTAAAATTATGAAACCAAATCCTATAAATACGTCATATAGCATGGCTGAGAACCCGAGACCAACATCGTTAAACGGGTTAAAACATTCTTAAAGGCTTCATGCATTTGCACAACTTACGGAAATATTGAATCGTAATGAAAATATGGCGTAGTATCTGATATTGTAACACAGCTTTTTAGCGAGGAAGTCGGAAATTGTAGGACGTTTTAAAGAAAACTCACTTGACGGACCAATTTAAGTGATTAATTTTGTCCTCGATTGAATCACGCTCATTCCTCATCAGAAGAAGTTGCTGCAAGCAAAAGAGAATTACCATGAGAGAAAACAAAGAAAAACTACTCAAGAACGATCTGAGATCGATCCTACATCCAAGAGTACAGACTGAGAAATTTTGTTTAATCTTTCACCAAGATGAGAAAAATATCGTCCAGTCTAATACACACACATCGGATCCATGTATACTTTAAACGATTTTCAACATGTCATGTTGCACCATGACAACAAATCCAAACAAGAGAATTCGGTGTTTTCGTGAGTAATAGATACTCAGAATAATATGACATGTAAACTTGTAAGACGAGTTATTTACCTTACGCATGCCCCTCAATTCCCAGAGAAGTTCAACTTCTTTCTCTAGTTCCGGAACAACGAGCATAGTTCTCCATCCTAAAAAACAACAAGAAAGTCGAGTCACAATTAGCTGGTGGTAGAAATACATGTTTACCAGCTTTATAATAACATGACAACGTTTCATAAATAACTTCACCCAAAAAAATATATTAAACGCAACAATAATAACTATAGCGTATTTAAAGTTGTTAATGTTAAAGTCATCAAGATGTTAATGTTAAAATCATCAATGTTGTAGTCCAAGCATAGACTAATAAAAATGCCCATGAACAAAAATATCAGTTCAAGTTCTTCGCATATCAAGAACCAATCGATTTCTCATATCAGTAGACACTTACGGAATGTATAACAAGGAGAGTAAACCTTACCAAGAACTTTTTTGCTGCGCAAAATATCACCATATATGTGATCACCAACATAAAGAACCTGTTAAAGCATATTCAGAAACATGAAACAGTAAGAATAATCTACTCTCTCTTTGAGCCATATAGTGCAGTAGTACCTGTGAACTTGACTCGATTGAAAGCAAGTTGTGAAGATGTCCAACGTTTCCACCTTGAAAAACTCGACAACCTTTATCTCTACTTTTCAGCAACAAACTTGGTGAAATTTCTCCCACCTTTCCAACAAATTTAAAGAATTATAAAGACTAGTATAGGGGCCATTTGGATGAGTAGAAGCATGCAAACGTTTGTCATGAGCAAAACCTGAGGCACAGGAGTTCCATGGTCGGTATTAAGAAGCATTCCAGATTCGGGTTCCACCTCAAAAAGGTTTGTACGACTCTCTTCATGGAAAAATCCAGGTTTTGCACTACAAAATCCAATTTCAGAAGTTAAATAAGAAAGCAAATACAATGAAACACCAGTATTTCAGGGGATAAATCCAAAGATCGATAACAATTAGCACAGAGTCATTTAATGAAATTCCAATCACATCTAATTGAATAACAACGAAAAATTAAAGTAAAAGGACTAGACCTGCCAGTGATGACAACATCAAAGTACTGGAGCCAATCAAAGTTGCAAGCATGTGGACCATGTATTGTGCGGCCTCCACAAAGGAAATTCATCACAACGTTTGTGTAATCCCACAAACTGCAACAATGGTAATGGAAATTTCATCCTTTAACAGGAACAGAACACTAGTCATTGAACAGATCGTTCACAAATGTTATTTGCAGTGTTCCCCCCTTCACCTTTATATTAGAAGAGAAGAACAAGAGCACAAGTTGCAATGGTTAGAGGTTGATCAAATTATATTAGCAACCTCACTTCCATATTAAATAGGACTGAATAGATTTAAAAGCATACTATAAAAGAAATATTTTCCCCCATTTTCTCTAGGAGCACTATACAGCGAGGAAGAGTTTGTGGATAGCAATACCTATTCGTCACCAAGAAAGTCGAACGACCAGAATCTCTAATCATTTTGAGCAGGGGTACAACTGAGGTATCCTCATTGATATACCTGATAAATATCGAGAGAAAGTGAAATTAAAAAAGGAGAAAGGATAAAATGTTCTGATAGAATGGAAATGACAAAGCTGAATCCTATCCAACTTGCCGGCAACAACAAGCTCATACAACAGCATCGCCTTAATCCCAACGAGTGCATAAACAAAAAAAAAAAGATGGATTCCATACATTATCCATACCTCTTAGGATCTTTTGCCACCATCTGCTTTAAAGTTCCATCGCGGTGGCACAAGTCAACAGCTGCCCGGACATCTTTATACACACGAGCATAACTAACAAGAAAATCATAGAAAATGAGATATATCTGAAAAGGAAAATCTCAATACCAGTAATTATTATTAGCCAACAAAATCATATAAATACGGTGATGAATGTTAGAAACTATCTTACTCAACACCCTCAGGAATTTTTCCTGGGTTATTGTCCTTAAAATCAACAAGTTGTGCAAATAAATAAGCCTCCGCCAATGAAAAAAGTGTATCTATCAAGGCATAGTCCGGCTCATCGAACGAGTCTCGGATTAGGGTGCTGCCATATATGCCAACTTTGTCTTCTTTAGACAGCTCCTTAAACCCATGATAAGCCACTTTCACATACTTATGGCGGTCCATCTGTATGATAGTAAACCATTTAGGTGAACGACGGATACATGCATTCATTATCAAAGTTAAAAAATAAGAAAGTCTCTACCTTTAAGATGTTCCCTCTCTTTTTATCTAGAACCAAGCCTCTAACCATGTATTTCCAATCAAATGTCCACTCCAGCAGCTAAAAAGATAAAAATATTGTGAGCAAGTGGCTATCCACCTAAGTTTCTCCCTGAGTACAAAAACAAAAAAGCTGCTTATCATGCATAAAGGGATCGTTGAATCGGAAACCAATGCACTGACCTCACTTGGATACCCCAAATCATATACCAACTTTCGGATAGTTCCTTCATAAGCAAGGGTCTCAAAGGTTTCAGGCCTGTACTGTGCAAGAGTGTAGTCCATATCAAAGCCAACAGCAACGATATTTCTCATATTCAACGGTCTGTTGCAAAAGATTTGTTTCCTTGAATCAATTTTCTTTCCTCCCTCCTTGGTTGACCACAAGTCAGGGGTCTCACATCCATCCCTGGAACCCACATTGTGAAAATGCAAAACCTTGTCACCAAAAGCACCAGATCGTTGTTCTTCCATCAAATTCTTAGGATGAAGCTGGCTTATCCCTGATAGTTCATCAACAAGAAAGAAACATCATCAGAATGACGAAAACTCCATCTACAGAAACACTCACAAAAACAGATAGTCAATCAGTATACTCAGTTTTACGGAGTCTCTAAAAAAATATCTAGTTTGGACTCCAAATGGTACTTGAATAGACAAGTGGTCAATCAAGAAGATGACTATTTCCCATGTGTAAAACATGGGATAAATGCAGTCCAAGATATTAGTCAACATAGCCTCCAAAACTAAGCTTCATGGATCAACATAATCATTTGACAGCAGAAAGCACCAAGTACAAGTCCCTAGTATCAACAGAACTCTGGCCTCTTACCTTTGTATTATTCAAAAGATGAAAGCCTGCAAGAAGCTAAGTCCCGATCCTAAGATTCTTCCAAGATGAACTCCAGGAAAAACCTAGAAATTGCAATTTTTTCCATTAAAAACGTTACCCTCTAGATTCAAGCCAACTACCGATTAGTACCACAGCTTCGTCCCCATGTCAATGAAACACTGAGAATACTCTTAATTTCCCGAAATATTCTGCAGAAACGGGTCCTTTCTGACGATACCAACAGCAGAAAACACAATCTCAACTTCAAAGAAGCTGTCACTGAAATCGCCCCAAGAAAGAAAAAAGATCGATATACGAAAATTACATTCCTACAAAGTTCTATCTATGCTAGGAAAATCCCAGCAACCGCAAGTAGGAGCACAAATTCGAGTGACAAACAGCGATACTCTGCTGCTTGCGACGCTTATCATCACTCAACTACGAATGCAAGTAGACTTGACCCAAATGAACGGTTTACAGATTCAAAATTTTCGAATGAAAAAACACAAAACGCATGTCTGAGAAAAGGGAGAAATCAGAGCAAGCACAAACAAAACAACTAACCTGTGGTGTGGAGGCACTCTCTTCGGGAGGGAGATTTTCCGGGAAAGTGGGAGCGACGGAAACCGAAGCCGAATCCAGAGGAGAAGATGGAGAAGCAGAGAGAAAGTGGGAGAGTGAGAGGACGTTTGGAGATACGCATGGCGGAGAATTGATTATTATATAGGCATTGAGGAGACGAATGGGATTCCTGATAGAGAAGAAGAATAACAGGTAAAGGATAAGATTCTGCGGCGGAGCAACGAGGGAATGCGGTGGCCGGAGAGGGATTATTCAAAGCGAGCGACAGAGACATTTACCGGAAAAGTCACCGGAATTTTATTCTCTCAGGTGACGCATTTGATTCGGAAATTTTTTCTCTAACACGAGAGAGGGAAAAAGAGGAGATGGAGGTGGTGACGAGGAAGAGATCGCGGAGAAGCTATGTGCCACGTGGCGGGAGGAGAGAGAAGTTGATAGAATGCACCGACTGTGATGATACGTCCCCGTGAATGACACAAATTTTGAGGTTTATATGTCGCTGAGGGGAAATTATCGTATACGGAAATTTTGGGGAAAAGAAATTCATGGCATAACAATTGAGGTCGAATTTTATAAGTTTTATGAGATTTAAAAAATTATAGAAAATATTACATTTATTTACTGAAAATTTCTAATTTAATTTAAAATTTCAATATGAAACATTATACTAAAAATTGGATCATCTATTTTAACCAACAACAACAATTTTATATATCTGACCTTCTTTTTTTTTTTTTTGCATATCTCGTCTCTTTCAAGATTTATGTCACGTGATGAAATTGGAAACAATTTTTCACTTGGAAATTCAAAATTAAATAATTTCTTTATCTACATGAAATGACTTAAAATGAATTAGATAGTATTATGCATGTACGTCTCCGATTTGTATTTCAACCGTGTAAGAGCCATCACGAAAAATAGTAACCAAACATTGTTCCAAAAAAGCAACAAAATTTGATTTTTATTGTTGGAAGAGACTTTAAACATGAAAAATAAAAAGAAAAACTTTTATGGTTTTAACTTTATAAACTTTCAATAAAATATATAAATTTATCATTATTTTCTATAAAAATTCTAAATTTATGAACTCGTTTTTATATCAATCCGTGTTAACCACATTGACCATCTTTTTTTGTCTCGACGGCCTTCGTGAAACACCGAAATAATAATTATAAGAGTCAATTTACAACTATTCTATTTCGGTCGTTTAAAAAAATTGTCCACACCATCGAATTTTTACATCACAAAAATAAACACACACACACACACATATATATATATATATATATATATAAATGTCAGAACCATTTTACGAAGTATCAAAATTGTTTTGGACAGTTTATAATAAATTTGGGAGTCGGATGAGCTTGTTTATAATAATAGAGAACGCACATAAAATAATAAAATGGGAATGAAAATAAACGTTTCCTAAAAAAAATATTCACTCAATTCAATTTTCCATCTTTCAAACCCAAGGAACTAAAAGGTAAATAATTTCTTTCGGTAAAGTTAAAACTACGTCGTTTTTTTCCCTGTGAGATAATATATAGTTTTTTCGTTTATTGGAAGCAATCATGAATGGCATCTCATAATAATTATAGATAGCCTTTAAAATAATAATAATAATAATAATAATTATCGACTTGATAATGTCCTATGGATACACTTTGTAATAGGTGACAGCTTGTTCTTTACGAACACCCACTACTCCCCAACTTATCTATTCGTGTGAATCACAATTCATACCTCGAGAGGGACAGAACCATTAAATATAATAACAAATAATAGATTAACGGAGCAATACAAAAAATTAGAGGTTAATTAGGATCAAGTTGGTTAATTTGGTTTTGGAAAAACGATAACTAATTGGGTTTTTTAAAACCCATTTGATTATTGGATTCATGGGTCTGACGAAAAATAAAGAAAATACAACAGATTAATTTGAATATGATTTTTAATTGTTCTACGATCTTGATGAAAAATCTAAAGCACCGAAATCAGTTCTTAATCTAAAGTGATTAAATTAAAATTAGTTATTGTCCTAATAATAATAACAACAACGATGACGATTTTACCAGCTCTTCACCGGCGTGCTCTTCCTCCTCGTTCGTCTCCTCGGAATCTCCGGCGACTTTTCCGGCGCCGGCTTCTCCTCCTCCTCCCTCTCTTCCTCCTCCTCCAATTTACTGTTTTGTCCCTCCTCAACAACTCCGACTTTCTTCTTCTTCTTCTTCTTCATCTTCTTCTTGACCTCCCCCTCTTCTTCTCCACATTCTTCGTCGTAATCTTGTTCTGATTCTTCATTCTTCTCTTCTCCGCCGCTTTCATGGCTCTCGAGATTCTTCCGAGGCCTTCCTCTTCGCCTTCCGGTTTGGTTCGATGCTGAAGGAGACGACGAAGAAGCTTCCGGCACTTCCTTTGTTCTTTGAGTTCTCCTGATCTTCCCCATATATTATATATATATATATATGTGTATGTATATATTTCTACTGTATTTCTTTCTCTGTGTTCGTGCGATGAACAACAAAGAGAGTTACGGCTCTATATGATAATATACTAAAATGATGCATATAATCCACAAGGACAAGATTTTTTTTTTATTTTTTCGTAACCTTTTTTTTTTTTTACCATTTATAATCTACAAGGTTTAGATTCTTGGAATGCCCGTTTGTGTTACCTTCCTTTCTTCTTATCCATAGTTTATCTTTATGTCGAGAGGGAGATATTTTAATTTTATGTGTAGGAGAATAAAATATATATATCCGTAAAATCAAATAAATAAATAAACCAGGTAGCACAGGAAGCTTTATGTCTTGGATAAAAATATATATATATATATATATTATCGCGGTTAAAAAGTAATATAAATCTAGTTATGGCTTTACATATGCACTTTTTTTTTCAAAATAGATATAGTTTTAAGGTATTTTCACATTTTTTAAATATAAAAAATTACAATACCTCTATTTATATCATGTTAACATTTTTAACGAGTTTTTATGTAGAAATATAGAATTTTATCTAAAAGATATTGAAATCCTAAATTATATTTTTCTAGTAATAGAAAAAACACATTATGGAACCATATTAAGATAACAAGCCAAAAATCCATTAGAAATATCTGCCTTGTAACATAAATACCAAAAACCATAAGAGGAGCGTTGGTGGCCAATGGGCCATTTCTTTCTTCACTCTCAAGTATTTTTTTTGTTCCAATTTTATGTCCTATAAAAATATATATATAATCTTTTTTTTTCTTCAAAAGAGTAATTTAATATATTAACTTATAAATAATTTTTTCAGTCAACAGAATTAATGATAATCGAAAAATATATTCAAAAAACACGTCAATTTAACATATAAAATATCACTTCTTTCTTTTACTCTTCTTCAAAATCAAGTTTTTTAGTCTCGTTCGAAACCCCTTTTTTTTTTCTTATCTATCAAAATATTGAAAATTGAAAGTTTTCATTATATAGAGAGACAATAAATTAGGAATCCTCGCATTAAATGGATGGATTAGACAAAGACATGAAAATAATTAAGCAAGGGTAGTCAAATCCATTTGTTGTATCTCGTGACACCATATAATATACTACGTAGACAAGTAAAAACGGCACGACGTTTGTTTGTTGGGACCAAAAGTGAGCGGTCGAAATTCAGAGCGGCCCGACGGGCCCCACTCATATATGAGAGTTGTATTCACCGTCTTCACTAATCACTGAAAACATGTACGTCGTTTTCCAAACCAAGAACGCCGCAGCGTTCGTGTCTCGTAAACAGCGAAATGGTTTTGGTCCTAAAAGGATAAGATCACGTGATCGCCTTTTCAGAAGAGCCCATCTTCTCTGTTCTCTCATCGGTCACATGAACAAATACACAGTGTTCCCATCACTGTTTTTCAGGAAAAAAATTTCCCCTTATCTTAACCGAAGCTTTTTCGCCATTACAGAATTTAAATGTTTGTAATAGAAAGACAAAACCCAATTTTGTTTTCATCTGTGAAATTTAATGTTTTTTTTCCCTGAAAGGGGCACATTTTTTTTTGCGGGAAGTGGCAACTGGGTCCGTCGCTATTTTCGGCCACGCGCTGGTTTCACAATTGATGGAAAGCTGTGATCTTGGATGATCTGTGAAATCCTACTTGGCCATAAAAATTTGCCCTTCAATCAAATCTTTTATCTTTTCAATGTTTTTGACGCTGACAGGAATCTGAATATTGTGCATTACTCGGGAAAATTACTGGGTTTTGGGGTTTGTGGATGGAGCATCGTCTCGGTGAGTTTCTTTTTCTGTATTTCATCCTTCCTTTTTTTTTGCTTCTCAGCGGATATTCCGATCCGAGGTTATCAAGTTCAAAGATTTTCAACAAAATAACAGAGTTTTCCATCTGGGTTTGTGTCTTTCACAATCTTATATCGAGTTTCTTGCTGAAAAAGCTGCAAACTTTTCACCTGAGATTCGTTTTTCCTGCAGAAACTAGACCCTTTTTTTGTTTATTTCTTGAAGAATCCCTCAGTTTGTGAGAGTCAACAGGTCTGAATCTGGGCAATCTTCAATCCAAAAACTTCCATTTTCGATAGAATTTTCCCATCTGTTGTGTTATTACAGCAGTACTTGAGAATCGTGATATTGGATAGAGGTATTCCTCTTTTTTCCGTTGTAGCTTTGTCATAGAAAAATGTTTTCTGTTCCTCAAAACTATGTTGTTGTTTTTGTTTCTCTGTTCTTCTCGAACAAGGATTTTTCCTTTTCCCCCTTTCTATTCTCATGATATTCTCTAATGAACACTTTTCTCTTGTGGAATTTTCTGCAGCAGGACATGTCCTGCAGCTGTGTTGGAGCATGTATGCGAGTATTTCGATTAGATTCGACTGAGAATAGATAAACTTCGATATAAAAGGCTATCTCTTGGATCATGGAGGAGCCATGTGAGACACGTAACAGCAATGGTGAAGGGTTTCATGTCGTGAGATATAATTCTTGTAACCAACATGGGTCCAGATTATCATCACCTTGGTTCGACCTGAGAGTGTTCTATGTTAGGATCGGTAACATCAAGGTGGATGATTCGACACCCGAGCTCCTCACCATCAATCATATTCCTTTGGAACCAGACACTCTTGTCGAGATTAATGGTGTTAGAATGGGCATTTACTCAGAGGGAGTGTCTACTCAACTCAGGAGGGATCGACTCGACAGGAGATCGGAAGCTACGTTTGTCAGCACAGATAACATCAGGTTAACGGGTAGCGTAAAATTCGAGGTTTATGACAAAAAAGACATGATCTTGTGTGGAACACTTGAGATGTCTGATAAGAATGGTTTCACAGTGGAATCAAAGAACAAATGGAACATGAACTGCGAAGCTGAGATCAGTGCAGGGTCTGGTTTCTTGAAGGAGAATCACACTGTTAGTCCGGATTTATCATCGGCATTACCTGTTTTCGAGGTTTATGTCACTGGTTGCTTCTCAGGAACACCGATCATCTTAACTAAGACTCTGCAGATTGGTTTCAGAAAGAAGCAAAACAGGAGGATTGCCTTAGATTCTATTCCAGAGTGTGAAACGTCTGATCACCAGAAAGGCACCAAGTATGAGCTTGATTTACAGGTAAACTTAACCGAAAAACAGAACTAGCAACCATAAGTAAACATTATGAATCTTTTGATTCCCTAATATGCTTTATGCCATTATACTGCATCCAAAGCATGGATTACTAAACAGCTGACAGTAGATTTGATGTAGTCTGGGGTCTGTTCTGATTGTTGATGAGTTTCCTTCTCATCCTGAGACATGATTGTTGGTTCTTTTAGGAAGATAAACCATTCAAATGTTGAAGTGGGCTGACAAGATATGATGGTGTTTCTTTATAAAAGTAATCATGTGAGGTATGTGACAGAGATTATGCATTTGTGCAGGCTACAGATTATGCAAACTACAAGGAAGAATATGATGAAGAATACAGCAACATGTACTGGAGAACAACAGAGTATATGGATGGTGAAAATGGGGAGATGTCATGGTTCAATGCTGGTGTAAGGGTTGGTGTTGGAATTGGACTTGGTATCTGTGTTGGCCTTGGGATTGGGGTTGGCTTACTTGTCCGTACCTATCACTCAACCACAAGAAACTTCAGAAGGAGCCTTCTCTAGTTTTAACAATTGCTTTGGTACCTCTTAACTACTCCCTTTCTGTAGCTAGTTAGCTAATAATAGTGTGCAAGTGGTGTTCCTTCCTGGTTCTTTCTTCTTTCTTACCTCAAAATTTTGAGAGAATTCCCCTTTTTTTCCCCTCTTGTTCTTGGGTTTGAAGTGAATAAGACTTGAGAAGAACAAATCTTGTTTCTGTTGATGTAAGTAAGGCTTGAGTGGGTTTCCTATATATTGACACAGAACCTGTTCCATGTCCTGTATCTCTCTGGTCTCTGGTCTTGGATTCACTGTCTTTAGGCTACAACTTTCAGAATCTGACTAGTTATATATATGAGCTCAAATCGTCATACATTGATACTCTCGATCTCGAGATTCTCGACGACACCGAGTAAAATCCAATATCTTGTTTAATCCAACTGATATCTAGCTGTCTGCTCTCCGACAGAGAACAATGCCACAGCATCTGTTTAACTAACAGAGTATAATTTAGCTGCTATGATAATAATACCTGGCTGAGCCAGAGAGCTCATGACTTATTTCGAACCAGTCGGGTTAGGCTTAGACTGATTCTGGTTCAAATCCCCAAAAGTTTGCGGCTTTTACGTCGTCTTGAGCCATTTGCTTGGAGAACTCTTGATGGTTGTACTGTAAGATGGCTTCCCCCCCGAACTCAGTTGGGAGATTGACCTCGTCGAAGTATGTGCTCATCAGCTCCACGCTCTCCTGGTTCTTCGGGTACACAAACTTCACCTTTTGGAATGTCTTTGCATCGAGCAAAAACTTCACAATCTGCAAAACCACCCGAGAAAAAAATCGTTACTGTACAAAATGGCATGGGTTTAACCTAGTTTACAGACTCACGGAGAACAATATGACCATTTCACAAGTATTTATATTGATAAGAAGTTCACATCCGCAATACATATAGATACATTACTCATGCATGCCATGGAATTCATGATGAGTAGAGAGAGATGCACTCATTTCAGACAAAATAGATATGCAACAACAAAATATTTTGATACTCATGCCCAAACACTTGAAATGAGTGGATGCAGCAAAAGCAGAGATCTTTAGGCAACAAGAGATGAGAGGTTGTAAATGGAGAAGTGGGTTTGTCTAACCTTCCAGAATGCCTCGAAGATCCTCGGGGGATTGTAGAGGAAAGCTATTGCCAGCCTCTCTGGGTAGTGGTTTTGCAGAATATTGATGGTTTCTCGGGCAGATTTAATAGGCACGTTGGTGCTTAATGTCCATCCGGTGAAGTCTATGAGCCAAGACATCTGTTCTTGATCCTCGGGGAGATTCAGAATAGCATTCTCGATGAGATAGACCAAATGTTTCATCTGGTTGTCTAATGATTTTGTGTTCTGCAGCATTTTCGTGAAAAAGGAAAGGTTATTGTGAACCTTTGAAGCCAATCCACTGAAGGAATTCAAAACAGGAAATAAAGACTTAGGACCTGTAAAGCCGGTCTTAGTATGAGAACCGTCCTTCCATGCCTATCATGGAAGCCTGCTCTGTAAACTTTTCCAGTCTCCCCTTCGTCTGCAACTTCATCCTGACGAAAGACAACCCTCAGATTGGAGTTTCGACATCATAAAGTTTCAATTTTTTTAAACCAAACGAGAACTTACCCATCTGATTTCCTCGGGTTTAAAGGCTGATCTCCATTTTAGCGTTTCTTCAAGCATCTTCTTGGCTTTGCCTACATTCCAATTCCTAGCTTCCAGATATCTCTTCAGGCATGCATCTGTACAGAATACCGAGGTTCTCCCCGATAATGGTCCTATGAGAGCCTTAAGCTCTTTGATCTGTGTTCATAAAAATCATAAGAGTTACCTTCGACAGACAACCCAAGTACCTCGTCACAAGCACAAGTACGAGCAAAGATAGAACAGTAAGTTCCAGGAACTTCTTCTTACCTTCGAGTCTGTGACAGCTGAATCGATGTTGTCTTGTTCGGGATGAGCTGAATTCTTGCGACGAAACATTGTGGATGCTACCGAGATCCAGAGTCAAAATATATAACCTACAAGAAACACATCAATGAAAGAATCCATAGATAACAAGCTATAAAACCAAAAGCATTCAAATTCGGAGTTTCAAGAATGAAACCCGAAAAAATAGCAGGAAAGACCAGATGTGAATACAACATTTGCACGGCCGAGGTCGGTTCAAGATTAAGGGAACTCAGGTTCTTTAGCATATCAAGTTTACACCTTTTTAGAAGCCTTAAACACCGAAATTCGACGAAACAAGCAAACCAGATACGATCAAAATACGCTGTTCGTGTCACTATCTGCTGAATTCGGAAGACAATTCTCAGGAGCGGAACATCAAATCCTTGCTCGAAAATGTCTGATACAGACAAATGCAAAGACTTCCACTGATTAGCTCAACTTGTGTTTCGAAAATGTCTGTTTTTTTTTTTTTTTTTGCAATTCCCCCAATTTGTGAGTTCAAACCACTCATGATCCAAACATCTAACCCAAGGTGGAACAATTTTGCGATCACTGTTCCTCCTCTACTCCTAATTAGCAAAACACAAAAAAAAAACCCATCTTTGTGTAAGATCACCGAAGCTTACTTTATGGCGAGAATAAACAGCATAGAAAACCCAGAATCCAAAAACTAAAACCCACAGAATTTGGTAAGAAGCACAAAGACCCATGTCTGAATTTAGTGGGATACAAGCAATGTTCATCGCAAAAGCAGAGAGAGGATGAACGTACCCAGTAGTCCAAGCGGGCAGGAGGGAGAGAAAGGGGCCTTGGATAGTTGTCTTTTGACGGATCAAGACTAGAAAAAAATGGTAATGGAGTAGGAAGAAAAATATTACTTCTTTTTTCAGAAAAAAAAATATAATATTTCTTTCAAGGTCAGAAATAATAAAAATGAAATCACGCCAAATTAAATTACAAAAAAAGGGTCAAAAAGGTATTTATGGTTATTCCCGTGACCCGTACGCTGTCATTTTGGGCTTTGCCACGATGCGTGTTCTGTCGGCAAAAATATCTCCCCAAGTTAGATGAGGAAACTACTATTTTATAAAGACGTGTAAAAAATAAAAATATAATTAGAAAATTATAGAATAATTTTAAAAATAGCAACTTAAACCTGAATCCAATATAAATTATATTCATACAGATACATTTTGACGGATCCTGATAATAATATTGTAATTTGGCCACCAAACGATCATCCAAGAGCTTGTGCACGTGTAGTGCATGTGACAGTGCATGGTCTGCCTTTATTCTATTTCAATTTTTTATTCATATATTTTTATGTAATAATCCTTTCATAAATACGATAAAGACATGAAACCGAGCCAAAAGCAAAGCAACCCACCTTGGACGATTTGGTGTAGGCGATGACAACAAAGCTATGAACGAATCTAAATGAATCGTTTTAGATAATTGATTTTGCCGTTACCAAAACTGTTAAATTAATTTATATAATATTAATTTTATATGAATATCTCCAACAACACAAATTAATATTTTTCTACCTTTTTTTTATGGTATAGTAATTTTTTAAGACTGGCCCAATACAAAGCGGACCACCGCACCACTGCTTCACCACCACATAACATAAAACTTTTCTTGTGAGATCGGGACATTAGTGCGATGTGTCCACACACGATTGTACACGTCAACGTTTAGGTATAATAATAGAATAAATGGGTATACAATTCAGATCCCAAAAGACACGTCAGCAGATCCATTAACCTATTGAACTGAAAGCTTTCAATTGGCTTATAAAGTCATAAAATTCCTAGTTCAACATTAACTTTGTATATTTAGCAAATAAATATATAAATTTTTATTTTGATAATAAAATACATCAATTTTTATATTTTTAGCGTAAACTTCCACAAATATTAACAACGTGAAAAAAATAACAAAATTATCAACACGTTATGTACAGTTATATATAAATACCATATTATTTTTTAATAAAATCATATCATTAATTATATTTAATAAATTTATTTTTAACCTTAGTGATTTTATTTTTTGATATTCAAAACATAATATATTTGCGTTTTGAACATAAAAAAACCACTAAACAAGGTTAATAATAAATTTCCTAAACATAATTAATAACATAGTTTTACTAAACAAATGATATGATATTAATATATAACTGTACATGACATATTGATGATTCTATTTTTTTTTTTAAATTTATACTAAAAATTTAAAAGTTAATGTATTTTGTTACCAAAATAAAGTTTATATATTCATTTGCCAAATACACAAAACTTATATTTTTTTTTTCCAATTGTCCCAATTTCTTAACACTTTAGAATTATAATTTTTGTTACTATTAGATTTAAGCTTCTATTGTAATATGATAAAAAAAATTAACTTGATGGTCCAACAACTGAATGAGAAGAGGGAAGATATTACCATTTAATTTTCTAAACCGATAAATCTTATTTATTCAAACTTTCTTGAAATTTATCAATTTATCCAATTTAAGAATTCAGACAGTTGAGGCACTGGGGGAAATCCAACCTAGGAAAAAAGAAACACCTAGCAATACATCATTGTATTGCACTGATATTTACTAAGAAACATGATAACTTACAAATTCTATTAATTTAATGTTATTCAACAAAGGGATTCTGGAATCATTACCATTGAAATCTCGAATTGATGATAAATTAAAGCTCAGAAGATTGCATCAAAACATATCAGTGACTATTAAGTCTCATATGTCCAGACATAATTATAGCAACTTCATCACCGCCCATTTGGTAAATACAACGAAATTCTAGATGTGAATCAGCCACACACATACATGTACATGACGAAATCGGGAAAACTCAGAGACGCTCATGGAGCATGAAATGGCAGACACTCAACACGGCATCAGTTCAGTCCGCCCGTCTGCTAAACATCTCATCATTGAATTTGTCCGAACAATAAAATAAATTGATTTTTACAAAAAAAAAAATAGAAAAAATAAAACAGGAAGCATGCAAATGGCATCAGATAATAAGCGAAGTTTTGTAGTCAACACTGAACCATCTGAGTGTAGCATAAGAATGGTTTTCATCACCTGCCATTCACAAAACCTCTATCCAGGAGAAGAACGGAACAAAATTTTCAAAACCCGTTTTGCAAAATCCGATTTAAAATCCGAAAAATCAGTCGATTATTCAACTAAGAAGAGGAAATGGGTGCAGCATCAGATAATAAGCGAAGATAAGTAGTCAACACTGTTCATCTGAGTGTAGGATAAGATAATATAGACTCGTCATTTGCCACAAACCCTAATCCCAAAATCATAAACCAGAGATCAAGATATGATTATTAAAAATCCCAGAAATTTTCATATCGGTAGATCCAATTGACACCAGAGCAAAGCAAAAATTAGAGCGTGCAATGGGCTGGTAAGGCAACCTTCTCGATTTATGCACCAGTTTTACCTCCTTTAGCATCGTGAATCTGGCTTCAATCAAGGAGTGGGTAAACAGATGCAATCACAAACAATCGAAAACACAAAAACATAATTTTAAAATTATCAGAAAATAGCTTAGAATAAACCAACTTCGTAGCAGAAAACAACAAGCCGGCGCATGAATCTATGAGCACACCAGGAATTTAGGCCGAGAAGGGATTGGGGGTCGACGAATACTGGGCGGTGAACTGAGAATGTAGAGGATTGTTAGGGTTTATATAGAGCAGAGGTTTTCCATCCACTAATTAGGGTTTTTGCCCGAATCATTCCGTGATGGGCCGTTGGTTTCGGCCCACTTAATAAAGACCCAATAACGATAAGGCCTACAGCGTGGATTTCATGAACATAACATAATATTACAGGGGCCTTTCTGAAATTACTGCAAACGTTTTTTATTTTTTTTTAAGAAATGTCATTTACCCAAACCCTCAAATGGGGAAAATATGGAGGCGCCAATTTCAAAAGAGTTCGGCGCTTAGACTCTCCAAAGGTTCGCGCTTTTTCTACTGAATTCACTTCTTCCAAACAAACCCATCACAGTTCCTTCCCTCCAATCCCGTAGGAATCGTTGTCGGCGGCAAAATCATACTCGGAGATGTTTAGCGACGGAGACTCCGGGCAGCTATCTCCTGTCGGAGAATCATCTGTTCCTGTTCCCAACAGGATGCTAAGGCGATTGAAGAAGGCTACATCAATCTCCGACATATGCCCTGAATCTGAAAACCCAGGCGGTGAAGATTCCCAGATGGTTGATCTGGAACCCGGGCGTGAAGACGAGCTGAGATCTGATTTTGAGGGTCTGGGTGTGGGGGACAATGGGGTTGGCGCGAAGAAGGCTTTGGATTTTGAGTCCATAGATGAGGAATTGGGCGAGGAAGGTGAGGATGGAGGTCATTATTTAAAAACAGGTGAAGAAACTAGGGATTTTGATTCCATGGCGGAGGAATTGGGCGAGGAAGGCGAGGATGGAGCTCGTGATCTGAAAACAGGAGAGGAAACTAGGGATTTCGATTCCATGGCTGAGGAATTGGGAGAGGAAGGTGGGGATGGTTCTCGTGATTTGAAAATAGGAGAAGAAATTAGGGATTTCGATTCCATGGCTGAGGAATTGGGAGAGGAAGGTGACGATGGAGCTGGTTATTTGAAAACGGGAGAGGAAATTAGGAATTTGGAGATGATTGAAGCTTCAAAGACACGGTCAATTTTGGATGGGAACGATGGCGATGAACACGAAGATGTAGATGGTGATTTGGGAATAGGGGAGGAAATTAGGGATTGGGAGTTAAAGGAAACTTCAAAGAAACGACCCATTCCGGAGAACGATGGTGATGAAGATGGGCTTCATATGGATAAGAAGAAGAAGAAGAAGAAAAGTATCGGCTTTGATGAGCTCCCAGTTTCTTCCGCTTCCATGAACATGAGCAAGAAGGTATAATTGCCCGGCTGGGTCCAGCTTAATTGGTTCGAATTCAATCTTTAATTTGAGTTAATGCGGTCTTTAATGTTGCTCCACAGGAGAGAAGAGAATATCTTGATCAGCTTCGCGCAGAAAATCAGCGGCTTTTGCGAGGTATGATGTTTCAGTTCATTCAGTGTTTGTTCGTTTGTCTTGCAAGAAATTCATTGGAAGTGAGCTTGTCTCTGGTGTTTTTCGGGCTCTGAACTGATTAGTGTTTGATGTTCTTGGTAGAAACTAGAGATGCTACCTTTCAACCTGTTCCTCTTGTCCGAAAGCCCATTTCTTCCGTCTTGGAGAAAATTCGACAAAGAAAACAGGAAATCTCGAGAAAGTGAGTAGATTTGTGTCCTGGCTAATGTTCTCCACCTGATGTTTAAGTAACTAACTGTTCTTGCATAATGACATTTGTGTGGCGGCAGGTTTCTCAGAAGGAATGAATCTTGTTCCATTGAAACATGTGATGGTCTTGAAAGAGATGTTATGGTAGATGCTGAATACGAGGAAGTCATTGCTGAAGAGATGGGTGATGGCAAAAGTTTGAAAATGAAAAGCAAGAGAACCCCGGAGAGAAAGAAGCCCTTGGAGAAATCTAATGCAGGTTCACTCGGAAACTCAGACTACCCCTCACATGATGAAGCTGAAAGCAACCCTACTCCTGAGGTGAGCAAAGTCATGTGATCTGTTGTTTTGATCGTTGCAAAAGTACACAGCTGAGTTTGTCTCTATGTTGTTTGAATTTTGATTTAAGGGGCTGAAGGACACAATTGTGGTAAGAGTAGTGTGCAAACATTTTGTTGATGTTTCTGTTCGCGGAAAAAAAAAAGTGAACTTAAACCCAAAATCTTACCTACAAACTATGTATAGGGCCTCCTTTTTTCCTAGCTTACTAATACTGAGTCTAAGCAAGCAGTTCAAGTTGCCTGGTTGTAATATCGAGAATGTAACGATCTATTGGATGCTGAATGAAGTAAAGAAACTCTGTTCTTGTTCTAATGTTCGTTTGCAGGATCCATCTGGTCGTTATCAAATGACTGACATGAGAGATGAGCTTCCAGAGAATACACCAAGCAGTCCGTTGGAGGAAGTTATGGCACCATCAGAACTTGCCATGAACCTCAGACTCAACTCATCTCCTGTCCATGACGAGTAAGACTGTTTTCCAACCTTTTTCTTAGTTTTTTAGAAGCAACATAACGGGTTGACTCTTAGTCTCAACATAACAAACATCAGATTCAGTATGCTGTGCTTTCAACTGTTCTAACTAGTATCTTCCTTTGCAGTTCTTGTGAAGAAGAAGAAGAAGAAAACGATAAGGAAAATCTTGATCCCGAAGCCTGTTCTTCATCTCCAAAAGGTGATCCTGTTAGGGCCTTCATTGATGAGGAAGCAGAAGAGGAAGATGACAGTGACAATGACTTGCTTCGTTTCAAGGATGACGAGGAAGATGAGGATGAAGGAGATGATGATCTTAGGGATATGATCGTGAGTCAATTTAGAGAAGATGCTATTGATAAGGAAAGGCGGAATGAACTGCATCAAAAGTGGCTTGAGCAACAAGATGCTGCAGGAACAGAGAAGCTATTACAGAAGTTAAAACGTGGTGTACCACAGGATGAAACATTGTTACTTGAAGAAGAAGATGATGCTGATGCTGATGATGAAGAGGAGGGGGCTGAATCCGATGATGTCAATGGGGAAGAAGATTCTTGCCAAGCATATTCCACTCGAATGATCATAAAGAAAATAAAGGAAATGATTCCTTTGGAATTCACTGACAAAAGTGATGATTATGTGGTATCTGATGACGACGAAATGGAAGAGATGGAGAGGAAACACCGCTTCTCCAACAAAATGGTGGGTGATCCTGCTTCATAACTATGCTCCTTTTCTTAGAATTTGATCAGCCAGCCTCGTTCTGATGAAGATTCAAGCATGTTTCTTCTCGGGTTTCTTTCAAGTCTGACTCTTGATTCTTTTTCTTTGGCACAGGAGCTGAAGGCTAAGATTCCATCACCTGCTACAGATGAGGGCTCCAAGGAACTCTTTTACCGCATAAAGAAGGTCAATAATATACCTGAAAACCGGAAAAAAGTGAAACCTTCATGTAAGATGCTCATCTAAGTTTCTTCCCAACCATTTTAAATGCAGTCTCTCTATGTTAATGCTAGCCGGGTTTATGCACAATGCTATCTAATTGCTTCTGACGCATATGATCATTTCTCTTATTTCCGTTTCAGCATTCTCAGACAAGTTACTAATGGGAATAAACAGAAATGCAGCACCATCCAAGGTAAGCCTGTCTCAAATAAACTAACTAGAATTTGAGAATGTCAGATAATGAGAATGACTTGCCAAGATCCTCATGTCCAAAATTTTGCAGTCATCGTTCTTGAGTCGAGGTCTGAAGAGCTCCTTACCAACAGCAGGATCTCACAAGCGTGGGTCGGGCATTGTACGTGGCTTTATATTCGAACGAGATGACGGCAACAGCCGGAGCTCAAGCTCAGCCCCAGAGAAATCATCAGAGACAGTAAGCTTCAGCAAGCAATTGCATTCAGACCATCTATATGATCCAACAGTATATTCCCATCAATGGACATTTTTCCTTGTATAAACTTTGGCTGTTTTCCTCGGCAGATTCAAGAGAAGAGCCAACCAACAAGGGTTCAGGCAAAATTCAACTGCTCACAGTCACAGATTAGGTCAAAAACCTCTCAAACCCGAGGAACAGAAGACGAAACAAGCTCACGAACTCCATTGTACGAGATTCTGAAGCGGTCTTCCATGAAATCTTGCTTCACTTCTCGTCAGAGCGTAAGCAGCAGCAGCAGCCATGCGGAGTCTATGTCTATATTCGCTGCTTTCAAAGTGGACAAGAAACAAAGCTAAAGCCAGTAAGCCACTGCCGTAAGTAGTAACTCCCTTCCAGTGCCTTTTATACTCTGTTATAACTATGGTTGTGTTGTGCTTTGAATTCCAGTGATTTAGTTTGAATGCCAAAAGCAGATTTCAACAAGGAGCAATGTGTCTACATCTTCAAAGTCATGATCAATGGGGTTGGCATGAGTTGACAACTCGGGTCGGGTTTTTTTAGAGTATTCGAATCCGAATGACGAGTTATATATATTAAAACCCGAATTCGAATCCAAATTTTAAAATTGTAGAATTACAATTTTTGAATCTGTAGAGATATCTAAATTTATTTTGATTAAAATTTTTAAAAATAGATATATTATATGTAAATGCAAAAAAAATAGATTTTGATAGGTATTTTTGCAATTTATTAATAATTATAATTATAAAATATATTGTTATTTTTTTATATTTATTTTAAATAATCATGGGCAGAGAGAGAGGGCAAGGGTTGACGTGATGTGTCAAGGGGGAAGGGACAAGGTTTTGTAAAGAAACGAGGTTTCGTTGGGACAAATGCCGATTTAGACCGAAATCGGTGAGAGAAGCCCCAAAGGGTTTTGTCCCAATGCGACACCAGAATTCGCATGTGGAGTGGAGACTCGTTGGATCTTGTCTCTCTTTCCCCCTCCAAAAACGCCGCGTTTTATGCCCCTCTCACTTTACATGCATAACATTCTCTCTATCAAATTTTGTTTTATATATATAAAATCCCTTTTGTGAAATTTCAGGCCTTAATTCCATGGCGGAAACTTAGCCCCTTGATTCATTATTGAAAATTAAGCTACAAGTTTATATACGGAGACTGAATAAGAAAATATATGAGAATATTTCAGCTATCTTTATTTTAATTTTTTGTTTATTTATCTAAACACATTATGTAATAGAAGAATAGAAACTAATTAACTATAATGTGTTCACTATTTGGAAATGTTAAAGTTAGCATATAAAAGATTGTGGACCCACATATTTAAGTATAAGCCACATATAATTAAGGAGACTAAATTTCTGCATTTTATCACATGGCCTATTTAGTCTAAAAATATCATTAAAAGAGAAAACAAACCTTTTTAAGATCATTTCATTTTCTCCTTCTCACAAAAAAACTTTTACTGTAACATAAGAGATTTTTTCGGACAAAGAACGTCAAATTCGAAGCTTTTCTTCTTTCTTCCCGCAGACCTCACCGTTGCTTGACTTCCGAAATATCCACGAAAGGGAACAAAAATCCCAGATAGATTCCGACCGGACAAATCTTCTTCGTTCCAGATCCAAATACCCATCTCGTATTGATCTGCATAAATGGCGGTTACTCGCTGATTCAGATACAAAACGGCCCTTTTTCCCTCTTCTTGCCTCCTTCAATGGCGGATCACCAACATGGCAAGTTCTTCTTCTTCTTCTTATGCTCTTTTTTCGTCTCCTTCAGTTTGCTTTTACCTTTGTCTTCAAATGGGTCTCTGGTTCTTGCAACCTCTGGTTCGGTCCCGATTACACAAGAGAACGATTATGTTTCTCCAAATGAAGCTGTAATCGGCAGCGAATCCGACCGACAAGGTGATCTATTGCATAAACTCGAGGAACTGGTTAGGAATCTTACGGAAGTAGTTGCTAGATTGGATACTAGGTTGTCTCGAACTCAGATTTCGCAGTGTGTCCGTGAGGAACGCGATATCGGGGCATCGATGAAGCCGTCGAAGGAGAGGAGTGAGATTGGTCGGAGAAAATCTGGTGATGAAATCGAAGAAGATAGTGATAACGATGATGACGAAGAAGAAGGTCACAAGAGTGGAACCAGGGAGAAAACTAAGACATTATCCGTAACTAAGTACAGCCCATTCTGGTCGGAGAGGTTTCAGTTCACTTCGGCTGTGAAATTGGATTCAGATGCGACTTGTGTTAATGTTTTGCCGTTTCGTGATCACGAGGGTTTAAGCAAGTACTTTGGAGTTGGGGATTCAAGAGGTAGGGTTTATGTGTTCTTGAGGAATGGGGATGTTTTGGTTGAATTCTTCACGACCTGCAGTTCACCCATCACGGCTATGGTTTCGTATCTGTCAGTGCATAAGAACGAGAGTTTCGTGGTCACGGGCCATCAGAAAGGTGAGATCTTGTTGCATAGGATTCGCGAGGGGTCGAACGGGGAGGATTGGAACTCGGTTACGATGGAGCATGTTGGTAAGTTTTCTGGCACGGGAGATGGGGAAGATGGCGATGTGTCCGTGACCCTCCTGGAAGTTCATCACGTGGGTCGGGTTAGGTATATATTGGCTTCGGATCTCGGTGGGAAGCTCACGGTTTACACGGAAAACGGGACGGTTTATGGGTCAGCAATGCCCACGAGCAGGCCGCTTGTCTTCTTGAAGCAAAGGCTGTTGTTTCTGACGGAGACTGGTGCCGGGTCGCTGGACTTAAGGAGCATGAAGATCAGAGAATCCAAATGTGACGGTCTGAACCATTCTCTTGCAAGAACATACGTTTTCGATGCCACAGAACGGTCTAAAGCATACGGGTTCACATCCGAGGGAGAAATCATTCACGTTTTACTTCTGGGCGACATTATGAACTTCAAATGTCGGGTGAGATCCAAGAGAAACTTCCAAATGGCAGAGCCGGTTGCTTTACAAGCTATCAAAGGCTATCTGCTCATGATCAACGAAGAAAAAGTCTTCGTCTACAATGTATCAACCCAGCAATACGTTCGAACCAGCAGTCCCCGGCTTCTTTTCTCTGCGGGCTTAGACGAGATAAGATCAACGTTCTTGAATCATCACGATTCATCGTTCAAACCGGACCAGAGAGGCAAAAAGGCGACACCTTTGATAGCGAGTGACCGGGAAAAGCTCGTGGTAATGAGCTTAGGAGACGGATACATCGCGACATACAGATCAAAACTTCCGGTTTTCAAAGGGGAATTCAACACGATGCTATGGAGCAGCCCGGTGTTTTTCTTCGTACTGTTTCTCTTCGGGGCGTGGTTTTTCTTTGCCAAGAAGAAAGAAGCTCTCACTTCTTGGGGACCCGACGACCCTTTCGCCTCTTCCTCCTCTCCTTCCCCTGCGGCTCAAGCCATGGACCACTCCTTCGCAGAATCTTCTAGAAGGAGTGATGACCTAATGGAACTACGAAGAAGGTACGTCTCTCCATCTCGGTACCCTCCTGGTGACGGCTCGGCTGCAGTTTCTTACCGTTCAGGCGGCTCTAATGACTTGAGCTCACGAGCTCTGGTGGATCAGAACTACAGAGCCATGGCTCAGGAGCTCAAGTACCGCGGCTCGGGTCTCGAGTCGAGCGGGTTTGGGAAGAGAAGGGAGAGCCTGTTTGTTAACAGCAAAGTTGTGGACGGCGAGAGTTAGATCCTTGTGTTAAGTTTTCAACTTTGTTTTTCCTCCATCCTCTGTCTTTTGTTTTTTTTAGGGATTGGCTTGAAAATGTTGTAATATGTAAACTCTGGTTTAGGAAATAAAAGTTTCAGGTAAATTATTCGGTTCGGATTTTTGTCTTGTTTGTTTTGTATTGGGGTTAATTGGGTTTAGGAAAAATCATATAGGCAGATGATTCCGGTTAATATTCGGTTTAATTTGAAATTTAAGATTTAGACTTTATAATTGGTTTAAAATTTTAAAAACAGGTTAGAAAGAGTGACTCTGTACTATTTTTTTATGGTATTTTCCGCTTGAATGGCGAAAATATGTCTTTACTCAAATTACTGTTAGGCAGTTTACATTAAAAACTAACTAAATCGTTAATTTGTGTCGGAAAATTCAATCTAAATCATGGAAAATATGAAAATGTTTCATAAAATTGGTTGGAAAAAGAGTATTAAATTAAGAATGGAATACATTACCTGCACAGTACAATACAACCAATCCAAAGTTTCCATTTTTTGGCAATCAAGAAGCATGTTCTTTATCTTCCACTCTCTCTTCTTAGTATCCTTCCTTCTCTTTAGATTCGTACACAAATCCCTATGGGTCCCTTGGAAAATCCAGACCCACTTCAAGAACCAGCGCGTGGAAGGCCCTCTCCGCCGACCCATCACCGGAAACTCCGCCGAGATCAGCCGCATGACGGCGGCGGCGAAGTCGAAGCCCATCCCAATCCACGGCGCTGATGGCGTCAGCCCACACGACTGCGTCCACCGAATGGCTCCTCACTACAGCGCGTGGTCGAGCGTGTACGGGAAGACGTTCCTCTACTGGTTCGGGTCAACGCCGGTGGTCGCCACGTCGGATCCGGAGCTGATCCGGGAGGCGCTGACCAATGGTAGGTCGTTTGACCGGATTGGGCATAATCCTTTGGCTAAGCTTCTCTACTCGCAGGGTCTTCCTGGTCTTCGAGGCGATGTATGGGCTTTGCATAGAAGAATCGCAATCCAAGCTTTCACCATGGAAAAAGTCAAGGTTTCTGTGTTGTTTCTGTAAATATCCTCAATCTACTTCATCTTGATGCAGTCAAACACACGATTCCAGTTATGGGAAGTTTAAGAATCTTCAGATACTTCTTAGTGGAAACTCTTATGGTTGAAATTCTTCAGACACATCTTAGTGGGAACTCTTATGGTTGAAATTCTTCAGACACATCTTAGTGGGAACTCTTTGGTTGAAAGAAATGTCTGGAGTTGAGAACTTGGTCTGATGTTGTCGGTTGAGTGATGAGTCTCATACTTTATCAATTCATTGGTAGATTTTGCATATTTTACAATGATTAGTACTATGGCCAGGATCAAAGTTGTTTTCCCAGATGACAAGCTTCATTTGATGTAGCTGTTATGCGCATTCTGCGTGCATACATAAGGGTCGTATTTCGGGCCATAGGGTGAGACTAAAGGCGAAAACTTTATGCAGAGGTGGGTACCCGAGATGGTGACGAGTACTAGAAAGATGCTGGAGAAGTGGGAGGCGATGAGAGATGGAAGAGAAGAGCTCGAAGTAGAAGTTCACGGTCAGATACACAACTTGGCTGCAGATATTTTGTCGAGAACGGCTTTTGGCAACAGTGTGGAGGAAGGGAAGCGTATCTTTGCGCTGCAAGAACGTATGATGCGCCTCTTCTATCTGGTTCGATGGAGCGTTTATCTTCCCGGGTTCAGGTAAGCGACTCCAGCATGTATGAGCTTTTCTTCTCATGATCCAATCACAACATCTATACACTATATGCTTGTTAATTCACCAAGATAGACAATGATAACTTGAATTCTAAAAGATGCTGAATATGAAAAAGAAAAACCCGGAAGGTATATGTTTAAATCAGGAACCAACCTTATGTTATTGCACAAGTTGGATTGATATGCTTACTTATAGCCATTATAACAATGATCAGATTTCTTCAGCTTCTACATTGCTTGCAAATTTCATGAACCGTGAAGATTTTGTGCTTGAATCTTGGTTTTCATACTGATTACTAAATTCTCGGTTCCTAACAAATGCCGGTTAGGTTTTTGCCCACCAAGACTAACAGAGAGATATGGAGGGTCGAGAAGGAAATCCGCCATTCCGTACGGAAACTGATCGAGAAGAACAGAAGGGCGATGGAAAACTCTGGAAATTTGCTAAGAGCTTTTATGTCACCGTACACAAATCAAGATGGTCGAGAAGAGAGGCTCGATATCGAAGAAGTCATCGATGAGTGCAAGACATTCTACTTTGCGGGGAAGGAAACAACAGGCAATCTTTTGACTTGGGCATTAGTCCTTCTAGCTATGCACCCCGAGTGGCAGATCGTTGCTCAGGAAGAAGTGATCCGCGTTTGCGGGGACAGCGGAGCTCCTGCCGCAGAAATCTTGCATGAACTCAAGACGGTAAATTCTGCACCTGTCTACTAAAATTATCCTTAACAATCCAATTGATAATTCCTAATTTTCGGAATGGCTTAACCGATCTTCTTCGATTGGATTCGGGTTTATTACCTGGAAAGTAAACAATGCATTGTCTCTTTTGCTAAGCTGTTTGTCTTCAGGTCATTCTATCTGGAAACATTCTAAAAACGTGATTTGGCATATGATCAAAATTCTTCGTCGATATCTAACACATTTCATCGTTGTAACAGCTCGGGATGATAATCAACGAGACCCTTAGGCTGTACCCTCCAGCCGTGACATTAAACCGCGACACCCTTCGAAGATCTAAGCTAGGAAACCTCGACATCCCGGCAGGAACCCAGCTCTACTTATCCGTGATCGCGATGCACCACGACACGGACGTGTGGGGACATGACGCGAACGAGTTCAATCCTCGTAGGTTCGAAGAGCCGAGAAAGCAATCGGCTCTGTTCATGCCGTTCGGGTCGGGTCCAAGGATCTGCGTAGGGCAGTCTCTCGTGATGGTTCAGGCCAAAACCGTTCTCGCTCAGATCTTAAGGCATTACAGTTTGAGGTTGTCCCCAGGTTATGTCCATGCCCCGACATTGTTCGTGACCTCTCAGCCTCAACACGGTGCTCATATCCTCTTCAGTAGGATTTCTGAATAGAGAGATCCGTGATTTGATCATTTCGTCTTTACGGTGATGAAGTACATATAAAGAAGTACAAAAATACATTTCATATTTGCAATATTTACAGAATTGCCATTACCATTTATGTACAAAATTATTACAATTCATTTTACAGAATTGCCATTGTTATTATTTACAAAAGATTACCATATATATAAAAATTAGAAAAGAAAAAAAAAGAGAGAGGGGTCCTAGTAGCCGTTGGAAAGCAAACACAAAATGAACAACCGTCGAGTCAGAGTTTTGAGTTTCAGTGGATTTGGTGTTTTGTTTTCCTCTTTTTGGCATTTGGTGAGGACAACTCCTCATTCTTCTTCTTAACGGTAAGGTATTCTCCCCTTCAAGTTTTTCGTGATTTTCCCGTTTTACCCTCCTACCCCTTCCAGCCAAATCTGACTCTGACCTCTTGCCTACCCTTCACTACACTTGTAATGACCATTATGCCCTATCTCCTTTTTTTAAAAAATTAATTTTTTTTATAACTCTCTAATTAACGTGACCATGACGTTGATTATAATAAATATATACCAAAATAAAATCGAGAATATTTTTTATGGAGAAAATAAAATAGAAAACACTAGTTTTCAGATAGATTATCTAAATATAAATATTATTATTGAGTAGAGATTTGGATGCTGTTTACCTTATATATCCACACAAGTTTCTAAAATTGTTTCATAATTCCTCTATCTATCTAAGTTTAAATGATTGTATTTGACTAAATTATCTACATATGAATTAATTAATTTTCTTAATAACGAAAAGGGTCAGATTTCAAATCCTAAATTATTCTATATGGACTAAAATTAGTGATGACTTCAACATTAGACAACATGTAGGTATTGAGTCCACTGACCATCTGTTTTTTTAAACCGAATAACACAGATTTTCGAGAAGAACGGAAACTACGGTCAAAGTCAACGTAGGATTTTCGAGAAGAAATTTAAAGGGTTAAAAATTAAATGCATTAAAACCCTCTTATTTTTACAAATTCATATATTTATCCCTTAACTTCTTGTCTTTCACAATCCTATCGTGCACACCACGCAACCACGACCGATCACAATCATACATCTAATTTTCTTATAAGCTTATACCTAATTATATTTACTCAAATATTTGATTTTAAAGATATGGATCGATACAAATAAATTTATCTTAAATTTTACTGTTCATTGTATATGTGTATGTATATGATGAATTCCAATATTTGTAATATTTTCTAATTAAATTTTAAAATATATATTAAAATTAATACTTAACTTAAACAAGGTAATTCACGCAGGAATTAAGAAGGGTCGAGAGATACTAACCAATAATATAACTAACCATAATGCTTAGAATACAAAATTAAAATGGATTAAAAATGGCAAAACAGTAATTTCACAGAAACATCCAGGTCACTTTCAAAACACCAAAACGCTTAACAGAAACTAACCGACACATCAACAAAGTCACCGGCTATCACCGGTAACCTCAACCCCAAATTCCTTGTTACCGTTTTGTTTTAAAAACCTCCGTTTTCTTCGTCATTTTCTCTACTCTGTTTCTGCTGCTCTCTCTCTCGCCATTTTTATCTTTCCTACTTTTCCCCCCAAAATTCTGTCGAATTTGCGGTTTCTACCAACTTCTCTGGGAAGATGTTTGCGGCAACGAAGCTCCGGTCGCCGGTTAAACCGGCGGTTGGGCGAGCGATTCTCGGTCCGACCGGCAATCGGTTTAGGGTTTCAGAGGAGCTGAGGAGGAAAACGGAGATCGCGAAGAAGAAGACGCCGCCGTCGCAGCAGCCGCAGCAGCGGCGCATGAAATCAGTGGCGGGGATGCCTGATTCCGCCGTGAGGACCGACTTCTCCGTCGATAGCTCCTCCTCTACCGATTCATCTTCATCGGCTTCGGACCGTTCGCCGGTGAAAATTTCCGTAGTGCCTGGGAGAGCTCCGACAAGAACTAACGGCGTTATGAGGTCCGTTAAGGCCATCACTGACGGCGTCACTGATGGTTCCCCCAGAATTTTGGGGCCGGTTAAGAGGTGCGATTGGATCACGCCTAATTCCGGTCAGTTTTTCATGCCATTTTTCTGAAATTATTAATCATAAAGCATTTTTCACAGTGAAATCTGCTAGGTTCGGTTCGAGTTAACCCAGCGAAACCCAGAAAAAATTGATCGGTTTAGGTACAATCTCAATTTCACTTATTCTGATCGGTTAATTTGATTTTGTTGTGTTTAGTCATTAGTGTTGCACTGATTAAACATAAGATAGCCGGATTAAACCGGAAATAACTTGATTAACCGAAGTACATAACCCTAAAGGCACTGTAATCGGATTCCGTTGGCCTTTTATCATTCAACGTGAACCGCGTCCAATCAAAATTGAGAAAAGGTAGTGCGGGGAATAAACCGACCTGATCTCAAACCGAACCGAACTAAACCAAATCTGACCGGAACAGGCAATGCCCAATTAGTTATGTCCAATCCAACCTTCTGCATCCTCTCTTTCCTTAAACTAGATAATTTTACAAACTGCAAACATCATTTATTTATGGAAAAAGGTATAATTTTTCGAGACTTGTTTCTTTTGCTTAGTTTGGAACACCCATGGCGATGGTCCACCAACCACAATGTGCCACAGATTTTCATCAATCTTCTTTGTCCAGTGAGATACATAATTTTACCATTTTTCACGTTTTCTCGCTTACAATTGTGTCGGCTGTAATTCATTCGTCCTTTCATCCTTAGCCGCTGTTGTGCCGCCATGAATCTCCCCTTTCGTCCAAGCTTCGATTTTTTTTTTTTTTTGCGAGCTTACCAAATGCATCTTCTTTGTTGTTTCACCCGGAATTCTTAACCTTGCATATACAATGATAACAAAAACTAGACTGTACGTGTAATAGGTAAGTTGATTATGAGTCCTTTACAAGAATCCGGTAGATCATGAAGTCCATTTCTCCTAAATTCTTATAGTTTCTTGATAGAAAGAGGGTTATCTTCATTGTATTGTCTTAGATTTAGGGGAAAGAATTTTGCCCGTACGATTGGTATTGGAGGATTTAAAACAGCTTACATGCATAGATGCGTACAACTTGTGTTCAGGCTTACCAAAGATTTGTTTGTCGTTATTTATACTTTTTCTGAGTGCCCCAAGCAGCCATTGACGTATGTTTTGGTTGATGATGATGATGATGGATATAACAGATACACTATACGCCTCTTTCCATGACGAGGAGTGGGGAGTGCCTGTGCATGATGACACAAAACTGTTTGAGCTTCTTGTGTACTCTCAAGCATTAGCAGAGCTCAGTTGGCCTTCAATCCTCCACAAGAGAGAGATCTTCAGGTACATAAAGTTTCAATCTTTAATATTCAAAATGTGTTCTTGTGCATATGAACCGATTACAAGATCCGGGACTATTCAACATGCGTGGATCGTTTGCGGCGCTTATAAGGGAAAAGAAAAGACAGTTTTCTTCCATTTGTATGTATATTAATTGATTAGTATATCGTAAGGTTGCTTCCTTGGCAGGAAGTTCTTTGATGATTTCAATCCATCATCCATAGTGCAATTCTCCATGAAGAGATTGCTGTCTCTCAAAGTCGACGGAGCTCTCATATTATCGGAACAAAAACTGCGTGCTATAGTAGAAAACGCGAAATCGGTTCTCAAGGTCGGGTTTTTTTTTTCTGTTGATATATTAACATGTTGCTATCCGCAAGTTATCACCTTGTTTTGCAAAAATCTTAAATTGCCATGTTCTGTCTGAACAGGTCCAGCAAGAGTTTGGATCCTTCAGCAACTACTGCTGGAGATTTGTGAAGGATAAGCCGTTAAGGAACGGATATCGCTATGGCCGTCAAGTGCCCGTTAAATCACCAAAAGCGGAGTTCATTAGCAAAGATATGATGCAAAGAGGGTTCTGTTGCGTTGGACCGACGGTCGTCTATTCCTTCTTGCAGGTTGCTGGCATTGTGAACGATCACCTCACGACATGCTTCAGATACCACGAATGTGTAGATCAAGAATCAAGAGCCCATAAAACCGTCGATGGCGAGAACCCGTCTCTAACCTCGGGACAGTAGTAGACACATTCTTCATTTCTAGATCGATTATCGATACGGGAAATCGCCAAAACAAAGATTGAAAAGATGCAGTGTTGAATGTAGCATTTGTAGTTGTTCATTTCTAGTTCGCCTAACTAGAGACTGATGTTTGGAACTGGAGATTCAGACCAGGAAATAACATAAAATTTGTAAAGGCATCATGCTTCCGAACTCTGAAGCTTGGATCTTTGATTCTGGGGGCAAGATGGACAAAGACATGGTGGTACGAAATGCAAACTAAAGCAATGAAAAATAGATAGGAGTTTGGGTTGTGACAAGATACAAGACGGGTCCAAACCAATTGAACAAATGTAATGTCGTTTGTGTTCTCCAAGGCCTAAGGGGGGACATGGTAGCAGCATACATCTCTTAGGACCATATCTACAAACAATGCTTATGGAAACAAACTTGCCGGGAGAAGAACCCAAAATCAAGATCCGAACACGATTCACTGATATTCCAATCCTTACACAGAACAAGCTTTCATGCATCATATTTCCGTCGCAGGAGGAGAAAGGTAATGTAGAACAGAAACCGCAATCCATCAACCACGTGCCTTCCCGTTTCCAAGCGTGAGCTCGAGATCCTCCATACCCACGTCGTGTATCCTCTCTCCCTCCCATGGCTTAACCTGCGCATTCTCGAATTTAAATTCCGAGCTCTGACCAATCTCTTGAAACACAGCATTAGGTGACATATGCTGAGGTGCGGGTTTCATGAGATTGAAAGTGGGCGAGGTCGGTATCACAGAGCCGGGATATGGCTGCTGAGCAAACTTCTGAAAGCTTATCCAGTGACCAGAATCAACTGTGGAAGAGTCAGACTCATCACATTCAGGTATAGTGGCTGGGGTATGGAACTGGCGATGGGTCGGACTAGCAGGAGCAGAAGCTGCATAGAAAGGGTAATTAGTGGCCACCATTGATTGTTTAGCCGCAATGGCCATCGACTGCTTAGCAATGCATTCCCAATTGGGCATCGGTTTAGGGTTCTTAGAGGTCGGGGATGATACCGGTGGAGTAACTGGAGCGCTGTTTGAGATTCTAAGCGGAGGAAGGGATGAAGGAAGGCCGTTTCTGAGGAATGGAAAGATCGTGGAGACCTTGTTTGGTTCACCACGAGAAGGGCTCGGGAAAGAAGAGGACGACGGGCTGACTTGGTAAGAAGGTATAGGGCTTGGAAAAGCTGATGAGAGAGGGCTCGGGTTTTGGGAGAAGTAAGGAGTGACTGGAGCTGAGGTTCCAGCTATGTCGCCCGGTGGAGGCTTGCATCCCTGAATCTCAAAAAACCATAGCCAAACATCATAATGTTACAATCACAGGTTTCAAAAAAGATCGAATCAACACAGACTGAGGTTTTCCAATTAAGATCCATTAGACAAAAACTGCAGACTAGTAATGACTGAGGTTTCCAAATTCATCTAAAAGCTATGTTAGAAATCTAAATGCAGTGGCTCATAAAACTCCTAGAACGCGTGGAAGCTACTGCCACTGCGAAATTAGCACAAACCCTAAATTCAATTTCTCCGAGGTCAAAATCAGAAACTAGATCCATAAATGAAAATGCACATTTATCCAATGGATTCAGCTAAAACGCTGTTTCCATAACTTAAAATCTCGAATTCGCACCCATCATAAAAGAACTCAACTGTTCGAATTAAACCGAGCAAACCCATTTGAACCCACGAGTCAAAACACCAGTTCAACGCCCAAAACACCATAAAATTGTTTAGATCTAAAACCCAGATGCCCATGACATTCACCTTGCGGTAAGTAGTTCCATCTTCTTCCACAACCCAACCAGCTTCAGCACAGAGAGCTTTCAAAACCTCATTGTTATCGCAATGTTTGGGCAGATTGTAACTGCCCTGAGCTCTAAGCCCCGAGTAAATCTTTGCAGCTATGGCTCTTCTCCGCCTCTCTCTCCTCCGATTGTTCTCCCTCTCCCTCCACGACGGCTTCCTCCTCGCTGCCGCCGCCGCCGCAGCCGCAGAACTCGACGTGGCCCCGTCCGACGTCATTCTCCGTCAAAACCCGACCCAGATCGCGACCCGTGAGCTCGAACGGAGATGGGTTGCTGTAGATTATGCACGCGGATTGAACCAGCTAAAGAAGAAGAAGAACAGACGAGAAGAGTGAGAAGTTAGTGCTCACGAGGAATACGCTTTTCCATCGCTGGAATTGTAGAAGAATCTCTCATCGTAATTAGAAACAAAAAATAAAATAAAAAAAATAAAAACAGAAACGAAAATGCCTATTTGGTAGTATAATCTTGTGTGCGCAGGTGCACGAGAAGTCAACAAGCCATAAGACATCCGCCGTTCACATGTTCCATAATGTTAATGGACGGTCCTGTTCATTGTGGGTGTAAAATCCTGTATGCTTTGGAGTAGATGATAAGAGCGCGTAGCCGCGTCTAGAGGGCGAAAGAAGTACGATTGTGGTTTCTGTGTAATGATCAAATTATTGAGAGAAGAAGTAGACAGCTGGGACCCACATTTGGATGTGGGCCCCTTACTTCTATGACCAGAAAACACACCATCTGATTGTTTTTTTTTTAATTAATTCACTCGACAATCTTTTATAGTTAGTTAAGCTTTCATGAAAAAAGAAATAATTAGATTTTATGGACTTAATAACTATTTTTAGAGAAATGTTAAACATTTTAAAATTGGACAAAAACATCAATAAAACTTACTTTGTTTGAAAATTTGAAAACACAATACCAAGTTCCAGTAATTACAATATTTTTTAACTTTAAATTTTAACATAATAATATATATAAAATAATATAATTTTGTACAAAAAGATATAGCAATTAATAGTATTTGTTGTACCAATTAATTTTTTTGATAATCGAATATTTTGAGTCGAAGTTCAGACTACTTTCGGAGTTGGGAGCCACCTATGTGTTTTGTATTATATGTGCTCTATTTCCAATTTGAGACTCGAATTTGGGACGGGATAGACGTTTTGCATCACCGTTTCATCGGTTAAGCTATCCAAGTTATGTTTATATCAAATTTTATGTAGCTATAGAATAAATTTATTTATAGAAGAAAGCAAATTCTGATAAACACTATCTTATTTATTCGTTGGGAAAAAATACAAATAGATGTGGATGATAGAAACTATTTTAATGATAAATTCAAATGCAGCCATCCATAGATTTTATATTAAATGAAAATAATTAATTAGAATAATGGAAAGACAAAGACACAATGGACAGTCGGGTTCATGTTTTTGTTTGGATTATAGTAATAATTAAAAGATTGGTCTATGAAAAGCAATGAATTGTATGGAATTAACCATCATTTTCATTTTATTTTTAAAATAATATAAAAATTATCAATGGTTCCAACCGCTATAACAGACCTTTGGAGCGCATCAGAGGATTACTAGTATATATAATAATTAAAAATCTTCGCCGTTGCCGGGGATCGAACCCGGGTCACCCGCGTGACAGGCGGGAATACTCACCACTATACTACAACGACATTTGAATAATCATTGCATTATTTATATAAAACAAATAATTTAATAAATAATTTCGTTTTAAATCTTTTCGTGGCATGATTTTGTTAGCCAATAACTTATTATGTTATATGTGAGGGTGAATTCCTTTTTATGAGATGTTATTGCATATATATTGAATTTTAGTGTGCATTTGTGCAATGACTAAATATGGTTACTGATGATGTGAAACACGTGGAAGGTTCCAAGAAATGCCAAATGCTTTTGAAAGATGTATAGAACGCGGTAATAGAAATGAAGTTATTGTCATTAGATATAACTCTATTTTTTGATTGTTATTGAGAATATCAACATATTTTCAACTGAAAATGTACAAGTTTTGATATATATTTGTTTTTTTACTAAAAATTGAAAAAAAGGTAAAACTTTAACTCTTTAATTAATCCGATTCTATTAATTTTTAAACTTAAAATATTGCTAATATGTGTGTGTGTATATATATATATATAGTCTGAAAGAAATGTTTCCGAAAAACATGCAACTCCGTTGAAGACCATCACAAACTTTGTATCGTGCGACTATTTTTCTTTTTCGTCTATCAGTTAATTTAACAATAAACGACGGCCTTACCAACAATTAAAAATAAATGAAGGGCAATTGCAATTCGATGAGAATTACAAGATAAGGACGCGAGCAATTCAAATTCAAACCACTGTACAGCTAACTCGAAGAAGGGCACAACGGTCATTTCATGAGCCACTAACTGGTCCCACTTCGCCTGTCTCTTTATAACACCAGTCAACCATCCAGACCAATATATTATAGAATTTACGATATTAGCCCTCGGATTGGTAAAAAAACGGTTCGATTTGATAACGCTAACATCATCCACGTGTCACTCTTATACTGGTCAACGTGTAGGCCCTCACTTATGCTGTCTCCCTTTCACTGCTTTTTTCCATCTCTCTCTCTCTCTGCTTCTTCGCTCTCGCATAAACCCTAATTCTCTGCTCGATTTCTGTGTTTTCCCGCTCAATCCTCCATTTTCGTTCTCAGCAATGCATGATCTCGCGCTTTGGTTCCGTGTCGAGAATTGAAGGAGAGGCGTTTTGCTGGGTTTTTCTGTTTCGGGGTCTAAACGGAGGGAGAGTGTGTGAGAGAAATGCTGCAAGCTGCGGAGAGCTCCGGCGTCCTCAACGGCGGATTCCCGCCATTGCAGAGCTGCTGCGGAGAGAGCAGTAGCGAGGAAGAGTTATCGGTGTTGCCACGTCACACCAAGGTTGTCGTCACCGGGAACAACCGTACGAAATCCGTCCTCGTCGGTCTTCAAGGCGTCGTGAAAAAAGCCGTCGGTCTTGGTGGTTGGCATTGGCTGGTACGGAATTTGATTTGGGTTTGGTTGTTTCCTCTTCTTCTTTTCCGTGTTTGGAAAATTTTTGTTTTTTTTGTTTGATCTCGATGAAAATCTAGGGCTTAATGCGTCTCTCATGACTCTGCATCCGAATTTTTAAAATGGATTTGCTCGAGACGAATCTGGAGTAAAATTCAGCTGACGGCTTTTCGAATTTGGGTCTCGAATATATCCGAGATCTTGAATGAAAAAAGCGACTTTTTTTACCTTCTTATGGAGATAACAAAATTTAGTAGGGCATGTCGATTTGCTTTTGATACGTTCCGATTACATCAAGTATATATTAAGGATCTTCTGACCGAACTACTGATCTGTTCTTCACCTGTATCAACTTGTATTTCCGAAATCTGGGCTGTGGGTGTATGCATGCATGTCTGTTTTTTCAACTAGATTCGGAGATTACAATGTTCCTTTTTCTTACACTGCGCGATAGTAATAAGTTGTCGATACCGTTAATTAGTGTTTTCGTTGTGTTATAGATTGGATTCTTCAGTGTGGCCTTTGGATTTCGTCTTCCAATTGGGTCATGAGATTTTGAGTATTCTGATTATTTTTATTTTCTTGTCAAAGTCTTCTTATATTTATCTGCATCTCGACTCTGGAATATTCTCTGTGATAAATTACTGTGAAACTCAATAATAAAAGACAAAAAAAAAGGGGTTTTCTTGCTTAGATTCAGCCTCAATTATAGGAGTCATCTACAGGGCTAAGTGTTTCTCAAGCTCGTACAGACATTAGTTGTAACCAATGTCTTAAAGAAGGCAACTTTTCCTTTTCCGCGCCTGTTTCGAGTTACATCATAACAATCTGCACTTGTGTCTAATTATTTTCATCATGTTTTCTTGGGAAATCTTATCCTTTTCGTCTTGTGGGTTCAAGCTGGCTTTTGAATTTGTTTGCTTGTGAGTGATTGATCAGAATCATGAGGTTTAAGGGTTCTGTTCTTCCTTTTTAGATGCGTCACTTTCATTTCGGCCATTGGCGCTCCTGCCGATTTTTTCTCTTCTAGAAGTTTTCTCCATTACTTTTACTCTGCCTGGTTTTGTATTGCAATTTGCTCCATGAGATCTTTTTCCTTTTGATAATGTCTCTGTCTCTGTGGACCAAAGGAGTCACTTGAGCATATTCTGGCTTTAAAAGTAACCAGATTAATATACTAATCTTCTCATTGTCGACGGATATAATTTACTAATTTCAATACGAAACCCCACCAGTTCTTGTCTCCTGTCCTTGGCATGTTAAAAAAGTCCTGAATCTGTCTGATAATAGGCATATTCTGCTGCTGATTATTAAATCGGGTATGAAGGCATTTGTTTATTCCATTTCAGCCGCAGCATTGTTCTTTTTCATTTTATAATTTTCAGGTTCTGACGAATGGAATAGAAGTAAAGTTGCAGAGGAATGCACTCAGCGTCATTGAGGCTCCCACTGGAAACGAGGAAGACGATGACCTTGAATTCGAGAACACACATTGGAATGGCTCTGATATGAGTAAGCCTTCTTCTTCGTGTCTCTGTCTCGTTACTCGGCTGTAAGAGCATAAGTTGTTCTAGATCTACTGTTCAACAGAAGGAAATGTTTGACGATTTGAAATGCCAGGATGTTTTGTGGGTTATGTAGTAGACTGTATTTCAGAGACAAAGTTGCAGACTTTATTTGATTTCCCAAGTTTTGATTCCATGACTTGAAATTTGTTATTCGTTTCAGCATCTGATGACACACTAAAGTCCCATAAGCCGAGGCAGAGGGCACAACGATCATCTCGTTCATCTCACAAAACACCGAGCAGGTCCCTATCTTGTGACTCGCAGTCAAAAAGCTCGGTTTTTACTCCCCCTGTGAACATGGTGCGACTCTTACCTTTGCAATTCCTTTTATTCAAATCTCCTCAATTTAGTGTTCAGCATTGAGGAGAATGAATGATGTTGCTGACGGGTGATTTGCTTTGATGCAGAAAGTTGATCTTAGTAAACTGGATATGCCCGCCTTACAGAGATACTGGCGACATTTTAACCTTGTGAGTTGCTCACGACAAGACAACAGGTTTTTGTTTTTTCTACTCTAGTTTGGATTTTGCTTCTCATTGCAATCTTGTAGGTGGAGGCTATTCCTAACCCATCAAAGGAGCAGCTAACAGAAATCGTTCAGAGGCACTTCATGTCACAGGTACACTTCCCCCTAGTTCTTGTCTAGTTCCGCAACTGAATCTGCAATCAAACGGGCAATGCTAAACTTCATCGTTTATTCTAATTTGGTGTCGATGATCACGCTTCATTACAGCAAATGGACGAGCTTCAGGTGATAGTGGGGTTCGTTCAGGCAGCGAAAAGAATGAAGAAGGCCTGCAAGTGGGAGACGAAAGAATCCCGAAACACCGATCTTAACTGTATCAGTTAAGACCGACAGACAGACAAGGCGACTAACAGAATGGTTCATTTGTATCTACCCTTCTGCCTGTTTTAACCATTTGTCGGCGGTTTTAGTTTTCATTAGTTAGCTCTCTCTCTCTCGGGTTCGGGTTAATGGCAGATGTTCTTGCTCTCTCTCTCTGTTAGCCAGTTGTAAGTAGAGTTACCTCCAGAACCAGTGACTTGAACAGACAAAAACTCTCCAATTGAATCCTGTCTTTTAACCGATCTGGAGACAATCGGTATGTTAGAGAATGTAAATATGTTTCCTTATGTGTCTGCTGCTCTCATCATGATTTATTCAATTCAATCTTGTTGTCAAATAACTTGTTGAGGTTATAGAAAACACCAAGATTGTGGATTCGGTTTGGGATTGTAACCCAAATGATGTGATTTCTCATTCTTCTTTAACATTGACAAACAAAATCATATATAAACTCACAACACAATTCACATGAGAGTGTGTAACTAAGAGAACTGGAACCGAACCCGGTTTATGACCCGGTTGGGCAAAATGTGATCAAATAATCCGATCCGGAACAAGTGCGAGTGCTGGAAGCGTCGTCATAGGCGTAGCTATACGCGCTCGGGCAAGCATTCTTGAACATGGCCGAGTACTGTGTCGGAGAGCAAGTCTCCGGCGTCGAGTGGTCGCCGGTGCAGCAGAACTCCGGCGTGTTAAAAGCCGCGCAAGCACTCTTGCAGGCCGCCACTTGGCCCGTGGCCAGTTCCATGACCCGGAGCTCGCTCGGGCAGATCGCGTTCACGTCCGAGACGCAACCTGCATACTGGCAATCGCCCGAGCCGCCCACCGCTCGGATGCCCATCTCAACGTTGTACCCGTCGACGAGGCTGACGTCGTAGAAGTCCTTGCTGGCGGAATCGCCGGCCGTGGCAACAGTGAACTCGGCCAGGGTCACCGGAGGAGCGCCGCCTCCGATGCATTTCAGGACGCCACCGCAGTCGCCGGTGAGGCAGTTGCCCTGGCCGGAGGGGTCGAAGTTGCAGCCGGTACGTGCCCAGAAGCGGCCGGGCCATCCCGGAGGGCCGGTGAGGTTG